ATAAATTCTTTATATCCCGCTTCAAAGCGAAAAGCCCCGCGCTTTTTCCGAGTCAATGAAAGTCACGTGACATAACACATGTTAACCTCAGCTCATTCGAACAGCTGTTTTCTATCAATTTTGAATTTGTTTTAATTCTTTAATAATGGCAGATAAGGACTTACGGTAAGATAAATTCGTTGTAGAAGTACCACACGGTGTACATAATACGTTGTATTAGGATCACCCGGGGTACATGGGGTTTTAAGCGTCCCGCCTTAGGTTTTATACCACGATTCGGAGGCTACTGGTATAAAACCTAACGAGGGACACATAAAAACCCCATGTACGCCGAGTGATCCTGCTACAACGAATTAATCTTTCCCACATGTTCTAATGTGACATTGTAAAACAATTAACACGAATTAAAAATTGAAAGAAAACAGCTGTCAGATTGAGCTGAGATCTATTTGTGCTGTGTCACGCGATTTCCACTGACTGAAAAAACGCGTGCGGCTTTTTGCTTTGAAGCGGAGTATAAGGGATTTATTCTGCCCCTCCACGTGCAGCCTTACTTGCTCCAGGCGGGGTATAAGAGATTTAATGGACCAATCAGATCTCATCATTCTGACATGGAGGTATGATAAAGTATTTTATCAAGATCACGTGGGCCAATCAGATCTCGTCATTCTGACATCGAGGCTCATGGTATAAAACCTTACACGTGACGCATAAGACCAATTGTATCCCTTGTGATACTGCTACAACTTATGATATGGGGGACGGGGGAGGGGGTGGGGTGCACACCATCTCTTAACGTCTTTGGTAATGCTGCGGCTGCGGACCGAGCCACCGACCTCCCGCACTCCTCCCGTATCTCGACGTCTCCTACTTGCGATCGCCGTGTACAGCACGATGTCGAGAATCGTTGACTACAGATACAGTCGACAAGTTAAACATAGTTCAGCTTATCCCCCCGTTAACGTTGCTATACAGTTAAAGTAGGACAGTAATGTAGATAGATACACGGACATGTACAAGATACAAACCTAATCAGCAGAGCAAGGGATATATACTCACCACCAAAAGAAACGCGAAACATAGAGTGAGTGAGTGAGTGAGTATGAGTTTACGCCGCTTTTAGCAATATTCCAGCAATATCACGGCGGGTGACATCAGAAATGGGCTTCACACATTGTACCCATGTCAGGAATCGAACCCGGGTCTTCGGCGTGACGAACGAACGCTTTAACCACTAGGCTACCCGACCGCCCCTGCGAAACATAGAAACATATGGAGAAGTATGTACGTTGAGAATAGATATTTCCAATATTTACCACTTAATGACAAAACTCACACTCAGTCAAGTGTTACCACAGAGTGCCTTTATTCTTATAACGATATCCTGCACGGGATTTCCAAACTTTACACGCTAATCCTGCACAAGACAAATGGTGCATCTCGAGTCATGAATCTATGACGTCACATGTGATGCGCTCGTGAGCGTCGGTTCACACAACATAACAGTATGTTCGTGTGTGCATCGAACCAATCTAATATTTCTTGAATATGAATAATACTTCAAATATTAACCAACATGTATGGTATTCGCGTTTCTTTCGTCGTTGAGTATACATGAACATATTTTCAGTAGTTATCTCTGACCATTTTAATTTTTGTCTTATGCTCATTGTCTGGTTCATGCCAATTGTTTACTTGGTTATCGAATTGTCCTATATCGACGTGACGTCATATCAACTCATTGTCTCAAAATATTGAAGATGGCATCATCCATTATTCATGAGGTAACAATTCATTTTTGTGACGACGATCAAACGATAGGATTTACTTAACTTATGTCTCTACAGAACTTTCCAGGCTAACAGTGAGTCAGTGAGTATGGTTTTACACCGCTTTTAGCAATATTCCAGCAATATCACGGCAGGGGACACCAGAAATGGGCTTCACACATTGTACCCATGTCGGGATTCGAACCCGGGTCTTCGGCATGACGAGCAAACGTTTTAACCACCAGGCTACCCGACCGCCCCTCCAGGCTAACAAACCTGATCTTGTACTTTTTGATAAGTCCAATGAAATCAATTACATCATTGGATTTTCTGTCCCTGTTGACACTAATGTGATTGACAAGATTCAAGAAAAACATGGCAAATATGCGGACCTCGCTTTCGAAATGCCAAGCTTGCATCCCGAGTAACAAGTTGTCCAACTCCCAATTGTTCTCTGTGCCTTAGGTTTGGTACCTCCCAAACAGTTGACTGACACTGGGAGAGTACTCGGGTTTTCTACCAGGAATACCCTTCAGACAATCTGGGTAATGTAGAAGGCTGCAGTGTTGGTGAGTCTTCACATTCTCCCAAACGTTCTGGGTGGGTTCGACAAGGCAGCGCTTCCAGGGAGAAGTCCCATTTGCTGTCTGCGCTGCGAGGGGGAACGGCCATAAGCTGGTGAGTCTAACCAGCCTGACTGTTCCAGGATCACCCAGACCCTCTTTTCTATATTTATTTATTGATTTTAATCTGTATAATAAAAATCATTTTTAAAAAGCGACAAAACCCTTTTCATAATCATAAGCATTATGACGTTTTCTTATGGATTTGTGTTGTCAGTGTCAGTTATGGCGACAGTTCAATCAAATCATTCATGACAGTCTACTTTCATTTATCTAATATGCCGAGCTTTCCCGCAACAAGGACACAGAGCGCGGATGAACAGTGGCTGTTGACCGACAAGCGAGCTGATAATGAACAGTACGTATGTGACCCGTCATGCTCAAGTCTGTGAGAGCTGACATGAAGTACGCCATATATTTTAACTGACAATCCAAAAACAAAAAACAACATGATTTATGTTACGTTACATTTATAGCCACACCCTTAACACTGATCGTAAAGTTTCGAACGCACAATTACTGACCATTTAGGGAGGCCGCTTGACCTTAATAAACACAGTCGTAAAGACGAGCGTTATCAGCGACGGTTTAAACTGCAGATTGTACTATGTCTACTTTAGTGTGTATCGCTGTGCTGGGCGGCCACGATACCCTGTGACGATGATGGCTACATGAGCAGGACATTAGACACAGATGTATACCAGCGTATGTGGATTATGAAATATTATACTGTTATGCCTGGTGTCGAAGTCCAACGTACATGTTGGGTATAAGAAACGTTATGCACCCGTTGTTGATGTGGATGTCTGCCTTCGATGTCGTGGGAGCCGGAGGAGTCGAGGTAACACATGAACAGTTCATTGCATCGCATTAATATCTTATAGAAAAACAAACACAAAGCCTACTGATGTATCAATGCCTTGTGTTGCGTAGCATCATTAGGACTGGGACATGTGCTTGGGCCGGGTTGGTCCTGAGTAGGACCCCGGTTCACACAGAAATACCAGGATTCGTGGTAAGTCACGTGATAATGTTAGTCACGTCATATATTGTTAGTTACGTAACATGTTGTTAGTTACGTAATACGTAATAACAATAACAATAAAACGACATGGTTACACCACAAGTTACCAATGTTCACATTACTTTCTGACTATGCATGCATTCCTTCTGACTTTTATATGTTTGAGTGAAAATAACGTTTCAGTAACTTCAATGTACGCATAATCAGATCGATTTACACGTGTATCTAAATAGTTTTTGCCAGGGTTCCGGTTAAACAAATCCCAATCGGACATTTTGTACACACCTCTTGAATTCTACAGCGAATACCAGTCCCATCCCTATGGCATATATACGAAATAATTTGTTTTAATCTGTATGTCAAAATTATCTCAACTTGTATTTTTATGGAGATGATGCGGAATGGTGTTTTAGATAGATGTTCCATTGCAGCTTAACATGTGCAGATCACACAATGCGCTGATTTGCATGTGTTCAACTCTGTTGCAATGTATTAGAACAATATAAAATTGCATAATAGGGTATTTATGACAGAATAAGATTTATGTATTTCATTTTTATAAAACACATAATTATTCACTGAAGTTTTCATATGATTGCTAAAGTTTCTAAAGTGTATTATATGATATTATGTAACGTACATCTTGCACTTACCCTTAATAAAGACACATCTTTAAGCATCTATCACGCCATCAGTTGGTTCCATACATGCGTAGGGAATTATTAAACACTATTCCCTTCAACTGCCAGAGATATGATTTAATAAGGAATTTGACCTGCTGAGTCAGACCATATTAATGTATCCATGGCCTGTTAAGTATTAAGGCCACGTGTGCACCCTGTTGAGAATCAATGGTAACTTTTTGCTTTTACAAATGTCAACCTCCGCTATTACTCTTGGCTTCAACAGAAATACCGCAGTACATACATGTATGTGTCGTTAGCCAGTGGTGAAGAGGGTTGTGAGATAAGCTCTGAATATTTATGTAATACATCTAGTGACATATTTCAGTTATCTGAATTGTCACTGTGGACAAGACATTGTGGCGTAAAACAACATAAACGTATGGACAAGATTAAAAATCTGTAAGATGAAAAAGCCCGACACGAGGGTTGAAAATAAAAGGGGCTGGGACCACAAATATATAGTTTATTTTTGCGTTAGGTTTCGTTCTGAGTGTAAGTAGTTGACAGTGCCGTAATTTATAATTTACGTTCTTGTGATCGTGACCTAAAATACGAGAAGAGTGAAATATGCTCATCGTTCAAATAAACTCCAACTGATGTACATCCGGTTGTAGGATTTGATAAAACTGTGCTTTCAGCCTCGTACCGCACTCACACATCAAATTTTGTAACGTTTAACATTCAGCTTACACGCCGTGACTCACTCACTGTCCAGGGTACATCCTGATGTTATAACACAGGGCTCCTGCATCTGACAACACAGAGATCCCGTTAACCTCGCTGGTTTGACCCAGATCTACAGTACTCTGCAATCTGGTCTGATAGCAAAGGGTTATCTCGATCTTCCGTATCTTTTCTTTACAGACAGGTGACTGAAAACAACGCAACGAAGATAAACTAATTTAAACATTTGAGTCACGATCACGTCACTGGTTACAGTTTGCCGTGTCATGTTTAAAATTGAGGACTTCGACTGAGCCCAGGGTCCCTGCTTGTCGACTAGGTAGGGTATCGGGTGGTTACGACGCGTGATCCTTCTGATCGAGATGCTCGTTCCCCAAGCTTCAGCGGGCGACTTGGAATAGCATGTGAATCTTGCTTTACGCCGCAGTCAACAATATTCAAGCTACATGCATATCATAGAGGCCTATAAATACCAGAGTCTGGGCCAGGCAAACCAGTCATAGCTCCATCAGCGTCCGAGGCTTTTAGGATACCATTAGCCTGCTCTTACAAGCATGGGACACAGCGTACATATTCTGGTACGGGCACAGCGGTTAAAACTAACATTACCTAACAGGAAAGGTAAACCTATTTTCAAAGTATAAATACCTCTGATTATAATTGTTCGAGAGTGGTGGATTCCCTACAACTCTGTTGGTTTCATTGTCCCATTACATAAAAAGGGAGATTACTCTCTGCAAATAGCTGTAGAGGTATTATAATATTAAGTATGTTTTAATAAGCTTTATGTACCAGTTTTGAATACAAGAATAAACCTTTGGAGTGATGTTTGAAAAAATTCAGAATCACAGGCCAGTGTTATGCTACCAATCATCCACTCTGTTATTTATATCTTCTTGTTGAAGGAAAAGGGTCGAATTTATGCCTTTTTTGTTGACTTTTCTTTGGCATTCGATACGGTCAATGAGTCTTAATTATGGTTCGTCTAGGAGCAGAAAGGAGCTTCCCCAAAACTGCTGGTTGTCTTAAGGCTGATTATGAATCAGTTAAATTAATAAAGCGACAAAACCCTTTCCATATCCATTTTAAATCTCTGCACAAAGAAGAGTCGATTGTATAATTCCGACTATATTATGTGCATGTGTTTATGAATCACTATCAAACAGTAATGATGCCATGTGTAAGCGAAAAGTTGAGCGTATCCTGCTCCACCGGTGGCACACGTCGCAAACACAAGCAAAGGCACGTCAATTGTTCACCTGAAAAACACGGGAACAAACTAGGGAGTTGACATTTTTGTCAGTGATGCGTCAAATTTGGAAATGTTCTCCACATGTCTACCATAAAACGTTTTGAAAACTTTACTGAGGCCTTGAATGTTGTAACCTTGATCAATCAACTTCTGAGCAAGAATAGCATGACGCTCTTTGAAATCTTGGCAGAAAGAGTATGCTCGATTGTATCTCAATTGTTGTGAAATGTAAACACCAAATGCTGGACCTGCTTGAATTAATGCTCGACATAAAAGGGAAGTTGACTGTTGGAAAGTTGAAGTCATCACTCTTGTCATATAGTCTTGTGTAGAGTATTTTGTCATTCTGAATCTTTAGGCATTGATCTAAATATGAGACAGATGAGACGGTCTCACTGGTCTCCTTTATTTCTAGTTCAGGTCGGTAAATCAGTGGAAGGGAATTGGCTAATTGATTGTTACTGAACGATACCAGTTCATCGATATACGACGCTTAAGTTAAACTTCTTGGCCAAATTACCCTGTTTTGAGTTTGCCAATCCGAAAAGAAATTCTGATTCATATGCATAAAGAAACGGATTCACAAGAAGGGGAGTGCTATTTTTGCCCATTAGGATGCCTACTTCTTGCCTAAATGTCTTGCCTTCTTGTTTAAATCATGTGTAAAAATTGATATTCGGGTATGTTAGAAAACAAAGTCGGCGTCCGACAGGGCTGTGTATTGAGTGCCTATTGTTTTCTTTATTTAAAAAGGACTTGGCCAACAAAAGAGAAAATTCGTGTTATCCTGGTATTCTGTTGCATCCGGATTTAAATCCTGGTTTTTTGTTATGTGCAGATGATGTGGTTCTAATTTCTGATAATGTAACAGGTCTTCAAAGACACCTTAATACATTACAGGCGTAGAGTATTAAAAACAATGTTAGTGTTTATCCAGATAAAAGTAAGACTGTTGTTTTCAAAAATGGAGTCATTCCTAAATTGGAGAAGTGGTTATTTTATGGGAAAATTCCTATTAAATGTGTTACATCTTATAAATATTTAGGCATAACCTTTTCACGAAATAAGCTTTGGAATAAGCACTTTGATAGTGCTGTTTTGCAGTCCAAAAGGGCATTATTTGGTATTTTAAGCAGTTTATCGAGACTTAACCATATGATGTTTTCTTCCCGTTTTGTACAGCAAACTACTGCCAATTTTATTGTATGGTGCTGAGGTATTGGTTCCTGGATATTGCTTGTGACCTGAATTCAGAGAAATTTAACTTGTTTACTTGACAGTCTTTTCTCGGTATTATGAAGTCTACATTGAATCATGTTGTTAGAATGCCAAAGATATTCAGATCACACTTATTTTTATATACGTTATATTTAATACTGGTATAAACGTTTATGTTTAACAGATTTCGATGATCAGAAAATTTTATGATATGATGTTGTTCGACATGTGTCATCGTAAAATTAATTAGGCTTCAAAACTCAAAAAGGTTTTGTATAGATAAGGTATTGTGCGAAATTTGGGTAAACCAGCTGATACAGCATAATTATATTGATAGTTTTAGGACATAGTTTAACATACGACATAATGTACATATAAACAAGACTGGCTTCACTAACAGGTGGTTTTAAAACATTGTCCTATTCGCTGTTGAAGATTTCTTTCCAAGTGGAGCCAAGTTGATCACAATTAATGTCTCGTAGAGCGTTAGGTCAGTTTCGATGTGGTTCCCATTAATTAAACATAGAAACAGGTCCATAGAGCAAAAACAACAAGAGAAGAAAGGATTTGTAAAGTGTGTAACTACAGTAAACTACGGTTATCACGAACTAAAATTGGTAGTCCCTTTGAGTTCGTTATAACCGTAGTTTACTGTATGGATATGTAGAAAATCTATTTTTGCTTGTTTGGGAGGCTTATGCAGATCTTCGTCAAATTTATCTCCACAAGAAATCCTTTACCCGACTCTACAGAAAAATATACTAATGTCTGTTGATAATACTGAAATATTGGCAATGTTTGTTTTTCATGCAATGCAATTAAGGAACAATAGTGTAATTTAAAGAGAGTTTGTTGGCTACATTGTAACTGAAGCTAAATGGGCCGATGGCCTACATCCATGCTGAATAAAGATGATGATGATGATGATGATGATGATGATGATGATGATGATGGCACAGAATCCCCGAGACATACGTAATGCAAGCTGTGTGAAACAGAAGTACATTAGTTAGTTCCCACAAGTGTATATTTCATTGATGGATATAAATCGACTTGAGTACACTGAGGACAAGTCGACACAAAATAATGCCGGGAATTGTATGATATGAACTTATCATAGTTATACGTATCAGTATGGGCAGGTATCAGTACTATCATACTGTGTACCAGACTAAAATCACAATAACTGCAGAGGTTTGGTGTCCTTTGAATCCCGTTAAATTAATCCCTGAGTGCATGTTACCGTTGGTTAAACTGCTCAATGGGGAACGTGGGTCACCTAATAAAACTGCCTGTTGTCTTCTACTTAGAGCAAATAGTATTCATACTTTGCCTTAAGTTCAAGGACGTGGTGTCAATACCCGTGTCATGTCTCAAAGATAGAGCCGTATCAATCTGATACAGGTCTGTTAACATGCAGTGTGTGTGTTCAAGCTATTGATGTCAACCATCCATCAGAGGACAATATGCACAGGTTATTATTTAATAGTGTGTATATGTGCGTGCGTGCGTGCGTGCGTGCGTGCGTGCGTGCGTGCGTGTGTGTGTGTAACACTCTGTATGCAATCCTCAAAGGTTCTAAGGCTATATTCCGGTCCACACATGGTCCAGTATTCTACTTTAAAAACATTAATATGAACCAACGACACCATGGCCTCCTTCAATGACCTTACAGAGTGAGTGAGTTGGGTTTAACACCGCTTTTAACAGTATTCCAGTTATATCACGGCGTGTCAGCTTAATGTGGGAGGAAAGCCCGAAGTGATGCAGGTCTCAGACGTTTACCACTTCGGTGAAACCCACGGGTATAGTTCTGACAAATCTAGAAACATATTCGGGGCGAACCGGGATTCGAACCCACAATCATAGGTTTCTGGCGTGTCCAACGGACGCAACTCTGCGCAGCGAATCTCGGCGCCTTAGACGACTGGGCCACCCGTGCCCCCGACCTTACAGGGGCTCATTTTGACACAACATATTGATAAATGATGATAGGCAAGAAGTTTCCCTGAAAGGTTGTGTATGCATAATACAGAAATTGTTATCCATAACAATCCTAGTCAAGATTACTTCCAACTTCTCAATACTTATAAAGACTCAAAATATTGATGATACATGTATGTGGATACAGTATGTCAAAAGCACAGATTTACATGACACCTATGTACACATCTCTAGATGCAGATTACCGTATTCGACGCAAAAAGCGCCCACGGCGACATTTGCTAGTATATTGGCTAGTGAACAATCCCAATTAGCAACCCTTCCGATTGATCAATGTACACTTATTTCCACACGTATAACACGCACTCGTGTGTTATATGCACCCTTAGTTATGGGCAATTAAATTCTGGAAAAATATACCTGTCGTGCATAAACATGTCAGGCTGTCAGCATTAACCACGAAATTTATCTTTCAGCTGTTTTTCTTCACCAAAATAATATTCTTATAAGAGCCCCCTATTTCTAATTTTGAGGGCGCCCTGAGCGCTTATTACGTCGAATACGGTTTATGAAATTAGTCTAGTAGCCCCATGTAAAGTATAAGTACATGCATTTGTTGATGGTTAACATATCAACTTTTGGGTATGGATGTCGTTGGCTAGACAACGTTGTCCGGGAATCACACACACACACACACACACACACACACACACACACACACACACACACACACACACACACGTGACGTTAAACCCAATTTCACCTCACCTCACCTTCTACCCGTACCCTAACATGATCAAGAACAATTCACTGTATACGAATTTATGCATCCACCTTTCCTAGTGTTTAATATTTGCGTGAAAAACAAGGTAATTGCTATAAATTTGGTGGGGTTTTATTATCTGTTAAAAAGCATGGGGTCACTTCTTTCAGTGGCATTTAGAAGTTGGTGTGATGAAGAACGACAAGTTCTATGGATGAACAACTTCTTTATTATAATTAGTGCGACGTTTCGGTGTAGATCCTAACACCTTTATCAAGCAAGTGATGGATAGTGCTTACTTACTTACTTACTTTGGAGATTTAACGTGCGCTTTCCGACTGATGCGTATTTCGCACACGGATAGTGCTGAACAACATAGGTATATATACTTATTGACATCAATGTTTATACAGTAAATTGATTGATGGACACAGAGAGCTGATTAAGATGATTGGAAGCCAGTGAATGACTAATGAGACAGGGTAAACAACCACGGAAGCTGATTGGGATGATTGGAAGCCAGTGAATAGAAGCCAGTGAATTGTCTAATAGACACAGAGTCAGCAAGCAGACTGAAACGTCGCACTTACTGTAATAAAGAAGTTGTTCATCCATAGAACTTGTCTTTCTTCAACATGGGGGTAACATTGCCTAACAATCTGAACATGAAGGATGTAAACATAATGTTCTGGTTTTTCGTTTCAGGCAAACTCAGAGGACAATAAAGATGACACGGGATGCATACATCCTGCTGGTTGTAAGGCCATACAGACAGTGCTTTAATAGAAAACATACGCCGACCATGATCCCAATCATTAGACGTGTGGGACGAGTATTGAAACATTACCTGATCTTTCTCACCAGACGCTGGATCCAGTTACTTGTAGTCATAGCAATGACGATGTATCTGTTGTCGTGGGTGTACCCAGGCAGGTCATTTTACTACCCCCAGGATCGGCAGGTGAACCGCCTGGGTTACAAGTACATCACCTCCCCCCAGAACGTGTGTGGTGGGACCAACAACCCTTCTGTGCTCATCTTCGTCTTGTCGACTGCCCAAGCATATGCCAAGAGACAGGCCATCAGGGACACTTGGGGGAGCGTCTCCAGAAGCGGCAGGTGGCCATCCAGACGCATACCCGCCACTGTGAAGGTAGTTTACCTTTTCGGACATTCGCGGGAATTCACGTTAATCCACAGGCTCCAAAGAGAAGCATCTGTGTATGGCGATATCCTTCAGATAGGGATTGAGGAGTCCTACGGACTTCACGTCACGAAGAAAATATTAATGGGGTTCAAATGGGCGAGGGAGCATTGCCCCGGGACACAGCACGTGATGAAGGTGGATGATGATGTGTTCGTAGATCTACCGCAGGTCCTTCATAGACTTCAGTCCCCAGAGTGGTCCTCGTATCTATGTGGGCACGTTGTGCTTTTGTCTGTGACTCGGAGGTCAGGGAAGTATCAGTTAAGTTTCCAGGAATACCCGTACATTCTGATACCTCCCTACATCCTTGGATACTTCTATGTTATGCCTATGGACGTCTCGTCCAAGCTTGTGGATGTTTCAGAATACGTGCCATATCTGAGAATGGAGGATGTTTACATCACGGCCATTTTGTCCAGAATGATCAAAGTGCAGATCAAAGGATTTCAAACGTTTTTCTCGGACAGGAATTATGACGTTGATACGTGTGATTTTGTGTCTCAAAGGCGGGACGCAAGTGTAGATGTCAGTCCCGACAAAATGTATTTGGTGTGGAAGACATACAGCGATGACAATATATGTAAATACGTTTGAAATAAAGACTTCAGGGCGATTTTTCACACGTGTCACCACAATGCATACACCATCATTTTTCATACTTGTCAAAGCAACAACGTGATCACGGTTCCCAATCCTGCTTATATTGCCTGAAATACCTTGGATCAATTTCACCCTTGTCAACAGAACGATAAGCTCTCTCTCTCTCTCTTACAAGTAGGAATTAACAGGCCAGTTAAGCCTACCTCAATGGTATACCTAGATAGCCCTGCGTCACACTGAACTATCTCTGACCGATGAAGTGAATCATATTGACTTAAGGTTGATCTTCGAACAATTGAAGAGGCAAAGGCTACTTGCATTGTCTGTATCCCATTGTTGTTTTTATGGCACAGCGAGATATATACACCTGAAAAACAATAACTCAACATTAACTGCATATTTTCAAAAAAAGATAAGCAGTATTGGAAGTCGAATCCTGTCTATATTTTCTGACGTTACACTGTCTTTCAAAAGTGACATACTTATATTGATACAGAAACTGAAATGAATATGTGAAGACATATTTTGTAACTGTTCCATGGCAAGAGTTAATTATTTTTACAATTTCTTTCACCGTTTCTTACACCATATGTTATTACCCCAGTCCTCTCTTTTAGGGACCGGTCATTTATTACAAGGGGGAAGGAAGGGGGGGGGGGGGGGGGGGGGGGAGCCTCCCCGTGTCCATGTACATTTCTTTCCTGACCCTTCCAGAATTTATAAACAAATATGTTGCTGTTGGTTCGTTGTTTAACGCCGCACTCAGCAATATCAAACTATATGACGGCGGTGTGTAAATAATCGGGTCTGGACCAGACAATCCAGTGATTAATACCATGAGCATCGATCCACGCAACCAAGTCAGCGAGCCTGACCACCCGATCCCGTTAGTCGCCTTTTACGACAAGCATAGTCGCCTTTTACGGCAAGCATGGGTTGCTGAAGACCTATTCTACCCCGGAATCTTCACGGTTCTATAAACAAATAACCAGATATATCATACCTACATGTCAGAGTGATGACATCTGATTGATTCACGTGATCGCGATAAAATACTCGGTATGGAAATAAATTTCTCAGCGGGAGAATAAATTCCCTTTACCCCGCCACGAACAAGACAGGATGAAAGTGGATTTCGGAGAGGGAGAATAAATCCGCCATTGCTTATTGTTTAAGCAAATTGTGTGAGTGCCGGATGCTGCTGACAGGACAGGACATGCTTACCCATTTTGTGAACACCCGGAGCATCACTGATTTTCAGTGATCCATTCATATAATTTTCATAGCTGTTTTGCCTTTTATGACCTATGAAATATATTTCGGTAATCGAGACGGGTTAATCTCTGGTGTTGACATTAACATTTACATGTGACAAAAATTGGATGTTGGTTGCACGGAATTGTACAATCAAATAAGCTTCTTAAATTCGGTACATCCTGCTATATTGCTACATCCTACTCTAGGCATCCGGCATACCTCCCAATTTGTCTCCGCATCCAATTTAAGAACTCTTGAGTCATACACCTGTATACACCTGGTACAATTGAATGAGTGAGTGAGTTGTGTTTAACGCCGACTTTAATAGTAATCCTGTTACATCACGGCGTGTCAGCTTAATGTGGGGTGAAATCCCTTAGTGATGCAAGTCTCAGACGTTAACCACTTCGGTGAAACCCACCGGTAAGTTTTGGCATCTGCATCACGGCATGCCTAATACCGACCCGTGAAGATCCGGGTTAGAATAGATCTTCAGAAACCCATGCTTGTCGTAAGAGGCGACTAAGGGGATCTGTGGTCAGGCTCGCTGACTTTGTTGATGTATGTCATCGTATCCCAATTGCGTGGATGGATGCTCATGATACCAATCACTGGATTGTCTGGCCCAGATTTTATTATTTACTGACCGCCGTCACAAAACTGGAATATTGCTAGGTGCGGCGTTAAACAACAAACAAACAAATATTCCGAATACAACAGGGCTCGGCATCCGGCGTGTCAGAATTGGTGTTGGTGCCCTCATCCATATCATTGTGTTTATGTGACTTCTACTTTATGTGTTTAGACCCGTGAAGATTCAGGGTAGAATAGGTCTTCAGCAACCCATGCTTGCCGTAAAAGGTGACTATGCTTGTCGTAAAAATCGACTAACGGGATCGGGTGGTCAGGCTCGCTGACTTGGTTGATGCATGTCATCGATCCCAATTGTGTGGATCGATGCTCATGATGTTAATCACTGGATTGTCTGGTCCAGACTCGATTATTTACACACCGCCGTCATAAAGCTGGAATATTGCTGAGTGCGGCGTTAAACAACAAACCTAACCAAAACCAAACTGTACGTGTTTATGTTTTAAATAAATGAAAACATACACTTTTAGTAACGCCGAGGTTTGGTTGTAGCTTGTCGTCCAATTTAGACTGTTCAAACTTGAGTGTCTGGGAATTGATATGTATAGTTACACTTGACACACTGTTGTCAAACAGTCACACAAATTCAAACACGGGAGCCGAGACGAAAAGTAAGCATGGCAAGGTACGTGGAAGGAACACCAAATGGAGTTCCGGGTTAGACAATGTCCTCAGCAACCTGCTGCTGGCCGTCCGAGGCGACCAAATGGACAGGCTGGTCAGATTCGGTAACTTGATTGCGTGTTATGGTACCCCGAAGGCGGGGATCGTTACTCCTAATATCAGTCACTAGATTGTCTGGTCCAGAGTCGACTACTTACAGACACCCGTCATATTAAGCTGGAATATTGCTGATTTTGGCGTTAAACGACAGAAAAACAGACGTAAATAGGAATAATGCTGACAGCAACGTTAAACAACAACAGACAACAGACGTGAACAAGGAATAATGCTGACTGCAGCGTAACACAACAACAAAAAACAGACGTGAACAAGGAATAATGCTGACTGCAGCGTTACACAACAACAAAAAACAGACGTGAACAAATGAGGTCTTGGTGAGGAGGTTTCAGCATTGTGTTTGTGACCTTGACCCACTTCATGACATGTTCTCAGCGGTGCAACCGTCACCATACTCTAACCAATCATGGGTGCTACGGGTTAGAATAGTAGGTCACCAGCAACCATTGAAGGTTACACGAGTCCACTGACTGGGTGTTTAGACTCGTTGACATGACTGGCTGCATGTCATCGTACCCTGACGGCGTGGGCGTTGCTCAAACACTGGATTGACTGGAATAGATGTTACATCCGCCGTCAAGTAGCTCAACATTGCTGTATGCAAAACACAAACTTAAACATATCAGACTCGTACACTAATCGTCGCGCTGCAAAAGCTGTTATTCGAGACGATGACATACCACCTACATGTTTGCTCAGTATAACCTTACCAACAAGCCTGTCTATTTTTCTATCATGTCGACGTCCATCATTGCCATTGCAGTTATGGGATTCACTCCAGTTCTGCCTCTCCCTGCCAGGACCCGTATCAGTGGGTTCCACCAGAGAGAAGACCTAGATCAGAGACCTACATCACTTCGGTCTTTTCTCCAGCAGCAAGCTGACATGCCGATATACCAGAAATAATGCTCAAAGCGGCTAAAACTCACTCACTTGCTCTGTCTGATTGTTCAAACCAAACTTAGTAGTGGAAAACGAACTGCAAAATTTCCCATACAAGTAAAGGCATCATTTCAGTGAAATATCTTCGTTGCTAAACGTCGCAATCAGCTCAGCATTGTTCCATCTATATCACATCAAAGCTGCTTTTAGGATCCATGAATACACCAAAGCTGCTTTTAGGATCCATAAATACATCAAAGCTGCTTTTAGGATCCATGAATACATCAAAGCTGCTTTTAGGATCCATGGATACTGTGCCGGGGGAAGTGGGTGGACAACTGCAATCTGTGCCCCCTTTGGTTGCCCCAGTCGGCGTTGCTGATTCATTCATCAAGGGTACCCACCCACCTTGCTACAACACCAGGCTTTTATTCAATATGAGGAAACAGGTGAGGTGAAATGGGGTCTAACGTCGCGTTCAAGATTATTGCACTTATATAGCGACGTGCATGCACGTGTTTGTCTGTGAGTGTGGCTGCTTGTACGGACAGATGCCGATTTATAGTGCTAGCTCACTGAGATACCATGCCGCAGTTTAACATGAATACCCCACTCAGACACAGTATACTGACTCCGAGCCGACCAGTCCTTGTTTCAGTCCCTTAACGCCGAGCGTCAGACAGGGTAACAACAAGTACCATCTTTTAACATCTTTTGGTTTGACGCGGCTGGGGATCAAACCCCGAACCTTCCGCTCTCCCTTGGTGGACGCTCTACCACTAGACCACGTAGGCGATCCTGGAAAACAGAAGTAAACAAAGAAGATCCTTTCACTTTCAGACATCTTCCCGATGCAAGAGAGTTAACTGACTATAAAAGTAGCAGCCGTGCTAGGCTGGAATTACTGGGCTCGATCGTAGCGCAACAAGTGGCTATTACCAGTTATGTCCCTTCTAAGCCTCTCCTATGGACCAATCAGATTGAACCTCTCGTATCACTTGCGTTTGCTTCACGCAAAATGGTGGCGGCCGGTCAGGACGATCTGATCGATAATCAAGATATATATTGTGATAAAACAGGTCTTACATCGCGAAATGCATCAATTCACGTGAGCACTTTGATTAAAACATGAAAAGATTTGGAAAATATCTGCTGACAACGAGTTGGCGGTGCAAATCCTGCAATCGACGAAATCTGCACGACAGTTAACGAACCGGATTTCGATTTCGGTGCGCGATTTTGATTGGACTATGCATAGACTCGTTGGTCCAGCCAAAATCTAACTCAATAATACCAGCCTCGTTCGGCAAGGGTGGAAACTGGACTTTAGTAGTCAGTTAACTTCCTTGCCTCGGGAAGATGCTTTCAGAAGCCAGTGTGCATGGAAGGCAGCTGCTCAACACGAAGTCAGTTTCGTTTCTGGTCCCTCCTTGAACAAGAACTTTGCATATTGTCTGATGGGTGCAATTCGAAAAGCTGATTTCCCAAAGGGCCGTGGCATGGGTCTTCGTGTCAACTGTGCACGATGGCTTATAGTTCCGGGATATGTCAAAACGACTAATCTCTGCTATATAGTGCTATAGCAGAGATTAGTCGTTTTGACATATCCCATATCCCGGATCAGACTCATGAACAAGTCAATGCCCTGGTGAAGGATGGAGGTGCAGTTGGATTGCCTGACACAGCCAAGAGAAAACATCTAGATGCTCACGGAAATCAAAGGCATTTTCACTATTTCATGCATAAAAAGGTTCATTTTCTTGGGATACGTTGGCGGCAGGGCAATTGTTGCAATTATTCCCGAATACATTGCTGTGATAATTTGTATAAATTGACCAGATAATTACGATATTTTAAGTATGGTTTGATATCATAAGAGATTTCAGCCGTGTTGGCGACCTTTGGGGATTTCATACTAAGTCCTACGTAGGAGATACTTAGACAAAAAGAAATTTCACCGTGGCCCTCCTACGCTTCCGTAGATTTCAGCCATGTTGACATCTGTCTTGGATTTTCTATCACCAGGGGTTGCTGCAGGTATTTGCCAAGTTTGGTGCTTTTAACCAAAGTGCACAGTTTTCGCCTTAACCGCGCACTACCAGTGCACATGTGAATTATGTTATTTCTGTTATTTCTAACCCTACAGGTGGAAAAAGGATGATTGCAGTATAACCTGTTTATCAGCCCGATGTTTGTGTGAGGTGCTGATACATACCTCCAGTGAAACCTGACCTGCAATATTATGCTTTCCCAGCCTTGTGAGATATGAAGCAGTGCCGGATGAGCAATAGGTATTTCACAGGCTCTTTATTAATACACTGAAACTGTGGCACAACTGAATCACAGGGCTAAGCCCACTGGTCATGGAGCATTGTCCCATGCATTGCTGTTGTCACAGAACTAATCCCACCAGTCAGAGAGCAGTATCCCATGCATTGCTGTTATCACAGGGCTAATCCCACTGGTCATGGAGCATTGTCCCATGCATTGCTGTTGTCACAGAACTAATCCCACCAGTCAGGGAGCAGTATCCCATGCACTGCTGTTATCACAAATAATGATAACCTTCTCAGGTATCCAGAAGTAGCAATACCCATCCCCACCTTTTCTATGTACACTAGGCATTTATGCATGTTAAAGTTTGTAAGGCACAAACAACATGACACACAAGAACAACATTCACAAATCATCACCGACAGCAGCATGTGGTGTTTTTGATTCTTTATTCAGAACATGACAATGAAATACAAGGAAACCTCATTCTCCAGATGTTGCTTTTCGTATACAACTGTATGTATGAATAGGTTACCTGACAAAAAAAGAAAATGCTGTGGTCATCCGAAGTATTTGGTCTCAATGAAAAAGACTATCTGGCCTATATGATGAACCTACTGCTCAACTTTTGAACTGATAATCTCTAAACCTGAGTAATAGTACGCATCTTTTATTCAACACTTTATTCAACACTTTATTCAACACTTTATTCAACACCAATGGTTTCAGCTGTCATATATTTCAGAAGGGACATTTAGACATTGAAATATGTTCATGATCTGTGGCCATTTTTATCCAAATAGATAAGTGGCTAAATATGTCATCTATTTTGAAGGAGTGCTAACACGCTGAGATGACGACAGAGATCAGTTTAACTGTCATTCAAGGTGTACAAAGGGAAGTTTTTGGACATTTCATTGAAGTTTTAACATGTTTGGGGCTGACACTGTTAAGCCTAAATGTGATGGGTGTTTCTCCATCAAAAAGCCAGTTGTAAGATGGCAGCCACTTTCCCCACTGAGCTGGGCCAGCCTATTGGGCACTCTTGGCAATCTGGTCCTTGAGGATGATGATGCTCTGCCTCTGTTCTGGAGGCAGCATGGAGATCTGCTGGTCTGTCAGCTGCAGCACCTGCATTATCAGGGCAGCCTGCAACACAGAAAGTCAGGGGATTACACGACCTGGAGAGTCAGAGGGTCACAGAACATGGAATGTCAAAGAGTCACATAACATTCCTTGCAGCAAAACCTTCACATACTAATGGAAAGAAGTCATACTTTAACAAAAAGAAACAAGTCTGGAGTATGATTTTACAATGGTCTTCAAACCACAAGACGACAAGAAACATATTCAAACATTGTTCCTATTTTGGGTAAGTAATCTGGGTCTTCAGCATGAAAGCTAAGAACACCAACACTGCTGTTCACTCTAGAGTATACTCAACACTAAGAAACAAGGTCTGGTAAGAAGTGATCCTGATCCTGGACATACAGGTTACAGTGAAGTAAGCTGAACCTGGTGAGCAACTGACCTTCTCCTGGTCCTGTGGGGAGATCTGAGTCCCTGGTCCTCCCAGTCCACCGCCCAGACCGGACATCACTCCTGCAGACAGTTGGCCAAGGTTGCCTAGGTTACCTAATGCACCTAAGGCACCTAAGGCTGACTGCATCGGTGCCTGCTGCTGAGGAACCATCTGAATAAGAAATGTGTTGTGAGAATCTGCTTGATAAATTATATTGATATCAAGCTGTTGATATGTGTAAAACTGATGGACAAATCCTTCATTAACCTATGAAGGTGCTAACCTAGGAGTGGGGTTGGCTAAGCAATATCCCTTCAGCAATATCTTACAAAGTCAACTTAGGGACTGTTGATATACATAAAACTGATGGACACAACCTTCGTTAAGATATGAAGGCGTTAACCTGGGAGTAGGGTTGGCTAAGCAATATCTCCTTTAGCAATCTAACTTAGGGATACATGAACACATGTGATTCACACATCGTAACCATGTTCAGAATCAAACCTTGGTCTATGGTGTGACAAGCCAATGCTTTAATTACCAAGCTCCATCACCACTGCTAATCAACACAGGACACACTTGGCCATGTTTCTCTAACCTGAGGTCTCATGGACACGCCCTGTCCTCCGTGTCCTCCCTGCATGCCAGGTCCAGCTTGGTGCTGCGGCATCCCCCGCAAGTCCCCCATCATCCTCTGGTCCCGGAACTCTGACCTCTGTGGCTGCCCAGGGTAGGGTCCTCCCATGTCACGATGACCTCCTGGCATCGGACCACCCATTGGACCACCCATCCCTGCACAAGGACAATCATCATTGTAGATCACACAGATATTCTCCATGTACAAATAGTAGTTTAAGATGCAACAAACAAAAAGTCATTTTATCTTTTGCTCTTCACCACTGACCTCCACTGAAGGTTGGACAAGGGGAAAGGAGGTATTTTCAGGGGTGGCTTAAAATCCCGAGATGAGAGAAACATTGATGTTACACACGACACATGGAATATCTAACTTGTAATATACTTTTTGTTTTTCATCTATCGGAATTATTTTTTAACATGAGAAATCGGCACTTGTCCTGTAGTCCTTGCCATACTGCATAATAGTTGAGGTTTCATAAGGACTAGTAGAAAATTGCCATTTTTATGGGTTTTTCTATATGTATTCATTCTAACGACTTGGAGACAAAAACAGTTACTTTCACTACCCCTTGTAATTGTGAAGAAAGAAGTAGTTCAGATTTTACAAATCTTAAAAATTATAAACAAAATTAATAAAAAATATTTGAGGTCACTAAAATTCTTTATCATACATTTGGATATGATTATATACAAAATCAACTTAAAACATATATTCGTGAAAGCTACGAGAGCGCTGTTGGAAGAGAAGACATGCTGGCCAAGTAACAAAAATCGAGCTTCGCAATTGACGAGTCTAATGAGAAATATACTCTCCAAAAAAAAATATATTCTCCATGTACAAATAGTAGTTTAAGATGCAACAAACAAAAAGTCATTTTATCTTTTGCTCAACACCACTGACCTCCACTGAAGGTTGGACAAGGGGAAAGGAGGTATTTTCAGGGGTGGCTTAAAATCCCGAGATGAGAGAAACATTGATGTTACACACGACACATGGAATATCTAACTTGTAATATACTTTTTGTTTTTCATCTATCGGAATTATTTTTTAACATGAGAAATCGGCACTTGTCCTGTAGTCCTTGCCATACTGCATAATAGTTGAGGTTTCATAAGGACTAGTAGAAAATTGCCATTTTTATGGGTTTTTCTATATGTATTCATTCTAACGACTTGGAGACAAAAACAGTTACTTGCACCACCCCTTGTAATTGTGAAGAAAGAAGTAGTTCAGAGTTTACAAATCTTAAAAATTATAAACAAAATTAATAAAAAATATTTGAGGTCACTAAAATTCTTTATCATACATTTGGATATGATTATATACAAAATCAACTTAAAACATATATTCGTGAAAGCTACGAGAGCGCTGTTGGAAGAGAAGACATGCTGGCCAAGTAACAAAAATCGAGCTTTGCAATTGACGAGTCTAATGAGAAATATACTCTCCAAAAAAAAATATATTCTCCATGTACAAATAGTAGTTTAAGATGCAACAAACAAAAAGTCATTTTATCTTTTGCTCAACACCACTGACCTCCACTGAAGGTTGGACAAGGGGAAAGGAGGTATTTTCAGGGGTGGCTTAAAATCCCGAGATGAGAGAAACATTGATGTTACACACGACACATGGAATATCTAACTTGTAATATACTTTTTGTTTTTCATCTATCGGAATTATTTTTTAACATGAGAAATCGGCACTTGTCCTGTAGTCCTTGCCATACTGCATAATAGTTGAGGTTTCATAAGGACTAGTAGAAAATTGCCATTTTTATGGGTTTTTCTATATGTATTCATTCTAACGACTTGGAGACAAAAACAGTTACTTTCACCACCCCTTGTAATTGTGAAGAAAGAAGTAGTTCAGAGTTTACAAATCTTAAAAATTATAAACAAAATTAATAAAAAATATTTGAGGTCACTAAAATTCTTTATCATACATTTGGATATGATTATATACAAAATCAACTTAAAACATATATTCGTGAAAGCTACGAGAGCTCTGATGGAAGAGAAGACATGCTGGCCAAGTAACAAAAATCGAGCTTCGCAATTGACGAGTCTAATGAGAAATATACAGCTTATAACAAAACATTTTCAAGAGAATGACAAACAGACAGACGTGATATTAACTCAATAAATGACCACCTATCCTTATTTTTCCTTGTCAATGTGGAACTAACGTGAAAAGGAAGTCAACAGTTTGTGTACGGGCTATAGACACGATAAAGGGGAGGTAACTCTTGCATGACAACAGTTCCGTCAAAGTCTTATGTTCACTGCAGTGAAATATCAAGTGTCATGTTCACTACAATGAAAATATCACTTTTCTCAACTTCAGAAAACGCAGTCTTTCAAAATGAAGTATATAATCGAAAGATGCATTCTATGGAAAGTGAGTGAGTGAGTGAGTGAGTATGTTTTTTTAGCAATATTCCAGCAATATCACAGCGGGGGACACCAGAAATGGGCTTCACACATTGTACCCATGTCGGGAATCAAACCCGGGTCTTCGGCATGACGAGCGAACGCTTTAACCACTAGGCTACCCAACCGCCCCTTCTATGGAAAGCTCATTTTGTTTTTGCCATTTCAATTTAGGCAGCTCAAGTGATTTGTCTCACCTGGCATAGGTCCTCTGGAAGCACCCATCATGTCTCCTGATGGACCACTCATACCATGTGATCCCCCGGGGGCCTGTACTGGGGCAGGGCCTCGGCCACCTGGAGAGGAATAGTTACACTGAATGCTCTGAAGCTACTCTGACCAACACTGAGGGAGCAACAACAATGAGTGCAAACACCACGGTTACCAATGAACTTGACACAGATTTTGGCTTCTTTATCCTTCTATGTAGAGGACACAATGGGTTTTGATTGTACACTTTAGAGCTTGTTTGTTTGTTTGTTGTTTAACGCCACGCCACACTCAGCAATATTCCAGCTATATGACGGCGGTCTGTAAATAATCGAGTCTGGACCAGATAACCCAGTGATTGACATCATGGACATCGAGCGTCGCAATTGGGATACGATGACGTGCATCAACCAAGTCAGCGAGCCTGACCACCCGATCCGGTTAGTCACCTCTTACGACAAGCATAGTCGCCTTTACGGCAAGCACGGGTTGCTGAAGACCTATTCTACCCCGGATCTTCATGGGTCGTACACTATAGAGGACTCAATGGGTTTTGTTTGTACATTATAGGGTTTGTGAGTATGGTATTACGCCACATTAGCAATATTCCAGCAATATCACTGCACAGCAAACAAGAAATGGGCTTCACACATTGTATCCATGGGGTACATGTAGCGGCTCTTTAGGTGTGATGAGCAAATGCTTTAACCAATAGGCTACCCCACCGCCCCTGCATGCTATAGAAAACTTTGTAAACTATAGAGGAAACAGGTTTTCATTTGCACACTGTAGAGTGAGCAGAGCATACCTTGTGACTGGCCCATCTGGTTGGGAGCTGATGATGAAGGCTGAAATCAAAAACAAAAGAAAATTGATATTTGTTGACCAAAAGCCACAAATAATGCTTCATATTAATGTAATGCCAACTCCTCATGTAACAAAATCAGATCTTATGAATAATCGGTAATAACAAACCCATTTCTAATCCACAGAACTAGTATATAATGATAACAACATAATGTTCGATGTAATAACAAACTTTCCTACATACATAACAAATCATAACGTAACACGTTACAAACATTTAGCAGGTCACTCTGAGATCATAATATTGATGCATGGATATCTCAGATAAATCTTTCCACTTTTGGGGGGCATGTACAGGAGTGAGTGAATGTTGTTTTTCAGCAGTATGACAGCTGTATTCAGACGACCCCCCTGTACACACCTTCAAAATCAACCCAAAATCCTATACTCCGTGTATAAGACGACCTGGAATGAAGCACATCACAAGTGCGCACACAAACCATATATATGCAATAAAAATTTGTTTATCTTGCGTTGTTTTTTCTACGATGAATGGTCACGTGTGTAACTCCAGCACATGTTGCCATTTTGTGTTTACACGGTACGACACCAAATTGGTGCCCGTAAAATAAAATTCATTTATGAAGTAATAACATATAAGAGACAATGGTGAGTAATTTAATCGCCAATTTAGTAAAATCTAAATATTTTTTACATTTGTATACTTATCCTGCATTACTCCTTAATGCATTCACTGCTTACCTTACGACAAAAAAAACTGGGACAGCTAACCGGCGATGGTCCTTGGGTGAATTATTCTGTTCACAATCCAACTTTTATATCCCGCCGTCGCTGTCCCGGTGATCACGTGACCAAAGGTCAACTCTTCACATCAAAGCCTGTCGCCCGAGCTTAAAAAAACATACTTTTGAGGTTTCTGAAGCCAAAGTGGGGAGGCAAGTCTGCGACGGGTGGGCCTTAAACGTAGTAATGCAGGATAAGTATACAAATGTAAAAAATATTTAGATTTTACTAAATTTTTTACTTATCCTGCATTACTCCTTAATGCATCTGTATCGGACGGTATGGAGGTGGGAAATCCTCAATACAGAAACCTCAATAATTCACACCCTGACACCTGACACAGATTAGTCAGTAACCCGTTAAGCGGAAAAGTTGAGAAAAAAACGCTTATACGGTAGGGTATTACAATGTGGCAAACAATTGCACATGGGAATTAAAGAATAGTTCCCTATACATTTTAGTAATAAAGACAACGAGCTGCTCAGCCAAATCTTTACTTACTATATGATTATAGCCCTGATGACAATAACTTGTCTTCCCTTGGCGAAATCTGATCAATAACACCGAACAGGAAAAGGCTCTGTATAGGGCGTGTATATTATTTGCGTCGAGGGTTGGTGACTTGCTGAGCTACAACCAACGGCCCAAAACTGCGTACACCTTCAATGTCCTCGAGAGTCACATCGCGAAGATAATGACTAGCGAAAACTGTGTCAGACCTCCAAAAACATCCTTCCATGATTGTCTTGATAGTACAATTGCTGTGTAAGGCCATGGTAGAGGCTAATGCCCTGATCTCATGAGGATTATTCGTTCTTGGTGGATCCAAATTGGCGATCGAATAAGCCTGAAGGATGACTGCGCGTAACCATAAGGATATGGTGTTGCGACTGACCTCGGTCGTGGATGTAGCAGATACGGGTATAAATAACCGCTTCCTCGAACCACGCCTAGTCTTGGAACGGCGGATGAAAATTATGGCTAGAATTACGGCTTCCAACTCCAGATTGTTTATGTGCCATTTCCGATGAGCGCTTGACCATAGCCCTGAGACTGTCTGGTCTTGTAGGTGAGCACCCCACCCCTGAAGGGAGGCGTCTGCGAATAGGTGTAGATTCGGGGACAACCCTGATAAAGAGATTCCTCCTAAGACATTCGACTCTATCGTCCACCAACGGAGATAAGGTCTCAAATTCGTTGGTAGCATGATGGCCCTGAGTGGATCCTGACTCCTGATGTAGGGATTCAGGAATTGTTGTATTGGGCGTAACTGTAATCGGCCTCTGTTGGTTAGGTCCTGGGCTGAGGTGAGTAACCCTAGCAACACTTGCCATTGGTGAAGTGTGCGTGGTTGACAAAGAGCAGGTGACAGGAGGCGTAAAATCTTGTGCCATCTGTCCCTGGGAACCGACAGGAGGTTCTGATCTGTTTGAAATAGTCCTCCTATGAACTGGAGTCGAAATGATGGAGTTAACTCCGATTTCGCCTCGTTGACTATCCAACCCAGTTGATATAGTAGTCTTCTGGTGAATTCCCGGTGACATATTAACGTCGGTGTGTGTTGATGACACAGGAGACAGTCGTCTATGTACGACTGGAACCAAATGTTCCTCAGTTGTAGAAACACAGTTATGGGCTTCATTATTCGTGTAAATAGCCACGGGGCCACTGAAATGCCAAATGGGAGTACTGCCCACTGGTAGTGGACCCCATTGAACTGGAACCTGAGGAATCTGCGATCTTTGGGATGAATCGGTATGTGCAGATATGCATCCTGTAGATCGATACTGATCAAGGAATCGAACGCTTTTATGCTGGTTCTGAGTAGTCTCAATGTAATGAGGCGGAAATAGGGTGGACGCTTCAGATAGAGCTCGTTGAAAACAGAGAGATTGTGTATCATTCTCATCTTGTCTGAGCCCTTCTTGGGTACCAGGAAGATGTGAGAATAAAATCCCGGAGTTAGCGCTGGGGTGTGTATAATCTCTACGGCTCTTTTCTCCAATAGTAAGTCTATGTTGGCCTTTAAAAGGACATGTTGCTTCCTTGGATAATTCCCCGGAATGGGTGCCGTGGTCAACGGAGGAAAAACCTCTATGTCTAGTTGGTAACCGTGGCGTAGAATGTTGAGAACATAATCGTCCCTGAGGATGCTCCAGTTCTTCCAAAACCGATTCAGTCTCCCGCCTACAGGGGTATCGACAATTGGGACGACTGGGGGTAGGAGATCCCAGTCGTGACTGTCTAACATTTCAATGTTTGCCCCTCCTATCACCTCCCTTACTGTGGTATTTACCACGTCGGGATTGATAAGAACCCTGGGGTTTTCCTCTGCCACGCCCCTTGCCACGAAAAGAATCTTGCACCTGTCCTTCCTTAAGCGACTCACGTCTAGGCCTGTAGTTGCCTGACTTGCCCGATCGCTGGGAAAAATTTTGAGAAACATGCTCCAAAGCCTTGAGTGCTGTTTTATCCCTAGCGTAACTGGAAACCTTCGCGTGTGTGTCTGAAATCTGTTCGTTGAACAGAGATGATGAAGACCAAGGTTGACGTAGCAATCTGCGTTTAAACTCTGAGTCCCAAGTAGATAAGGCTAAATAACCCAATCTCCGAGTGACAGTTATTTCTGCCAACGCAGCTTTAAGATGATTTCTTATATGGTCAATCTGACGCTGTTGAAAATCAACTATAGTTTGGAGGTGATCTAGTCTGTTAGGATTATCCTCTGACAGATCCTGCTCTACCGCCCGAGTAGACGATGCTAATGCTGCTAAAGGTTTTAATACCCTTCGGATTTCTGTTTCAATAAACGCAACTCTGGTATCCTGAACCTTAAGAGTGGTAGGCCTTGACGAGCCTGTCATTCTGTGTATATCCTCATCCAAACTATGTGCCTGGTTTGCTGCCTCAAAGCCATGAATAGGAAATTCATCCTTCCTAAACCTGGGAGGTCTGAATGACGGTGTAAGTGTGAGCTTGGAGAAGTCCTCATCCAAAGATCTAATCATATCTGACATCATAGGGTCAATCGGAATCGACGTAGGATGTGTCCAAATAGTATCTTTTTTATCTACCCCACTACCCGGGGAAGGTACTGAAATGAGGCGGTCAGCTACCCAATCAGGTACTTGAGCCAGGCTAAGGTGAGTATTCCATTCGTTCGCGGAATCTCCCTCCTCACCATTAGAACCATCTGATGAATCAGAACGACGTTGATGTGTACGTCTTGATGGTGAACGACTTCTACTCCGATGTGCAATATTACCTCTGACCGAGGGCTTAGATGAACTGCCTGGTGACAAGGAATCATGCGTTGATGTCCAAGTACGGGCAGGTGTACTGGTACTACTCAACGAAGAATGTACTGTATTATGACTCATAATAGGAGTGTTATACACATTAGTCACTGGAGTAGGCGGTAAAATATGTGCCGTAGATGTAGTTGATGCAGGTGTCTGATACATAGGCATAGGTGTAGGCAAAGGCAAAGGCATAGGCGTAGGCATAGGCGTAGGCATAGGCGCAGGCGTAGGATACAGTTGTGTCATAGACTGCTGCCACATTGATTGTAGAAAATTTTGCATCCAATTAGTGTTTGGAATTGGCATAGGCGCCTGCGCTGGATACATTGGTACAGCGCTAAGCTGATCGTGCGCTGGTTGCGTAATATCATACGCTGATAACCCTTGGGCTGAAGTCATTGTAGAAGTGCTTGGGTAGTAGGGCTTGGCTGCGCTCGGCGCAGGCATATGAGGCGCAATGCTCAATGGAGTAGACTTGAGTCTAGCTTGGCTTGGCGCTATCACCGACAACGCATCTTGAGACGCTGGCGCACTGTCTGCATACGTAACAGATGTAGAATTCTCCAAATTAGGTGCAATTATAATACGCCCAACATTCTCCGGGAGAGAAGATTCCGGTGGCATGTGCACCTCCGCGGTGACAGTTACGGCCGACCTATTATCCCTCATAGATAAAGGTTGCGTCGTAATGATCGAATCCTGTCCCTCGCTCATTTGCGATAGCGATAGAGACATTTTCCTTTTCTCAAGACGTGATTGCTGCAAAATATGTTTGTGAGTGACTTGCCTATACCTCGCGAAACTCTTTGGAGAGAGGTTTTTACAAAAAACACATTTAGAATTTGGTGCACAAATTTGTGTACATGACAAACAACGTGGGTGAGGATCTTGAATAGATTTTTTCCCACGACAATTAGTACAACGCGCAAGCATAAGTTACGCAATAATATACTAGAAGAAAACGGGACTGGAATTTACTGCCGTAGATAATTTCTCGGCAAAATATTTGAACGAGTTGATAGTGTATAAATGCTTGAATATACGCAACTCAATGAACCGCCAAAGCTAGAAGTATTGAAAACAACATATGAAATATGTTATACATACCTAGCCGATAATTGTAAACAATTGACTACCTTTACCAAGCAAACAATTGTAACACAATTCAAAATGGCGGGGAACAGATAGCACGTGGCGGGAAAAAAGACACGTCTCTTTTTCCGCCTCAAAACATCAAATACAACTTCACAACATGTTGAAAGTAATATGAAAGGTATACATCACCCATCGCAGAAGAATTTTAGAATGGTAGACGAATGGAAAGCCTAAATAAATCCAAAAAAACGAGAGCTCCGCTGGAAACGTCCTAGCTATGTCGCGACAGGCAGTGATGTGAAGAGTTGACCTTTGGTCACGTGATCACCGGGACAGCGACGGCGGGATATAAAAGTTGGATTGTGAACAGAATAATTCACCCAAGGACCATCGCCGGTTAGCTGTCCCAGTTTTTTTTGTCGTAAGGTAAGCAGTGAATGCATTAAGGAGTAATGCAGGATAAGTAAAAAATTAACTAATTTGTAACTAACTAGGCTTATATTTGCTTCACATTCAGCGTGTTTATTCCACAATCACTTATTCACACTGTCTCCAACAGTTGTTAATACAACTGTAAAAACAGCGGGAATTGATTTCAGCTTCACCGGTTATCACATGTTAGGTCACGTGCAATATGCAAATGCTTACCAGTACTTCCGGCTCTCTACTCACGGATGTTGATTGTTTTACCGTGTCAGCTGGTTTGACAATCTGCATCGAGGCGAGGGTCATTTCAACTTTATTTGCAGAAATTATTAAACTTTATTTAAGGAAAAGAGATACAAATATGTATGGAAATAGTTATTGGAACAGTTATTTAGGACGAAATGCGAAGTTTTATTGTCAAATGCTGGGCTGGCTATCGGACGCCGGTTGACATCGCCAGTGGAAAAAAATGTGAGATCTTCGACTCCGTGTATAAGACGACCCCCGTTCTTAACCCCCTCATTTTAGGTACGAAAAACTCGCCTTATACACAGCGATATACGGTAAATTTTAAAACACTTAATTCAATCAGAAATGCTCATTTTTCTCAGATAAAATTTTACTCTGTGTCTTGAGCAATAATCATTAAGGTAGCTCTTGCTCTCAGGTAAGTTACCATAAGTGAGTCACATATCAATGTCTGATTCAACACTGTTAGTGTCAGTGAAGCACCGAAATTGTATACTAGACAGTCGGGCAGGTAGGAATATATTTCACCTGTTCCTACAGAAATGTTACCAGCCACAGGATAACGGGCAGGCAGTTATTTTTCGGACACTGTGCTACAATACAAAAGGCCACAAGACAATACCTATCTCGAAACACTGGTTTGTTGCGATACCATCTTGATATGCCAGAATTACAGAGCTACTACTGTGTTTCAGATGAGTGAAACAATGACGGACCATTTCTTCATTGTCAACTGTTCCCAGACCATCACAAAACGTGACATGGAAGCAAAAATGCTCCAAAACAGCTGATTTGTGGGACCCAGTTAGATTGGGTAATGCTTCGTTAAGTAAGTAATAACTATGACAGCCTATAATAATGAAGTCTGGGCCAGACGATCCTGTGATAACAGATTGATATTATTATCAACTTGCTATCAAGTTACGATAGCAAGTAATAAAAACGTTCCCGAGCCTAACCAGCCGATCCATCAAGTTGACTTTAATGACCAGAATAGATCATTGAGAACCTATTCTAACCAAATATATACCCATGCGTTTAGAACCTTGTGAAAGACCAGGGCCCAATTTCATAAAACTATCCTGGCGCTATGGTGAGTGACTGCACATGGAAGTTGACTGGCTCTGTATAGGGCGAGTTCATTATTTGTGTCAGGGGTTGGCAACCTGCAGGATAACAACCAGAGGGCCAAACTTCGAACGTCTTCGACATCCTCGAGAGCCCCAACGCGAAGGTTATGACTAACGAAAATATGTGTCGAATCTCCAGAAATATCCTTCCGTGGTTGTTCCAAAACCACAATTGCCGTGTTGAGCCCTGGTAAGGCTGACACCTTGAGATCTTGAGGGTAAAAACACTGCATTTAATCAGAAATGCTCATGTTTTACCTTACCTGACGCTACACAGTGCTCTAGGTGTAGCATCAGGTAAATTTAAAAACACTTAATTCAATCAGAAATGCTCATTTTTCTCAGATAAAATTTTACTGTGTGTCTTAAGCAAAAATCATTAAGGTAGCTCTTGCTCTCAGGTAAGTTACCATAAGTGAGTCACATATCAATGTCTGATTCAACACTGTTAGTGTCAGTGAAGCACCGAAATTGTATACTAGACAGTCGGGCAGGTAGGAATATATTTCACCTGTTCCTACAGAAATGTTACCAGCCACAGGATAACGGGCAGGCAGTTATTTTCGGATACTGTGCTACAATACAAAAGGCCACAAGACAATACCTATCTCGAAACACTGGTTTGTTGCGATACCATCTTGATATGCCAGAATTACAGAGCTACTCCTGTGTTTCAGATGAGTGAAACAATGACGGACCATTTCTTCATTGTCAACTGTTCCCAGACCATCACAAAACGTGAGAGGGAAGCAAAAATGCTCAAAAACAGCTGATTTGTGGGACCCAGTCAGATTGGGTAATGCTTCGTTAAGTAAGTAATAACTATGACAGCCTATAATAATGAAGTCTGGGCCAGACGATCCTGTGATAACAGATTGATATTAGTATCAACATGCTATCAAGTTACGATAGCAAGTAATAAAAAACGTTCCCGAGCCTAACCAGCCGATCCATCAAGTTGACTTTAATGACCAGAATAGATCATCGAGAACCTATTCTAACCAAATATATACCCATGCGTTTAGAACCTTGTGACAGACCAGGGCCCAGTTTTATAAACCTATCCTGGCGCTATGGTGATCATTACTGTCATAGGGCTACTGTCATAGAGCTACGATCGCTCTATGGAACAGCTGTTAGGCTCACAGAAGGTTCGAAACCCATGACTGGACTGGTGATATACCTGTGTCACAATGTGTGGCTGCTTGTACTAATCCAGACTTATGCGGGTTCTATAGTGCTGGCCCATGAAGATAAAATCTCAGTTTGACATGGATACCCCACTTAGACACAGTGACTGAGTGATTATGGTTTTACGCCGCTTTTAGCAATATTCCAGCAATATCACGGCGGGGGACACCAGAAATGGGCTTCACACATTGTACCCATGTCGGGAATCGAACCCGGGTCTTCGGCATGACGAGCGAACGCTTTAACCACTAGGCTACCCAACCGCCCCACTAAGACACAGTGTACTGATTCCCGAGTCAACCAATCCTTGTTTTACGCAGAGTAATAAGTGCTTTTAACGTGTATGACACAACCAGTGGATCAAACCACCATCCTTCCACTCTCTGGGATGATGCTGTCCACTAGACCACTGAGGCGGTGTTCACCTAAATGGCAAAGGCTAGGCATGGAAACACCAAGTCGATCTTTCAATTTCTTTTGTTCAACGGTCAGGGGATAGACCTTATGCTCTCCACGCTCTACTACACCCTAGACCATGGGTCCACCTGTATTCAAAGTCAACAGGACAGAGATGCCATTGTCAGACACCTGGTTGTGACTCACCTGTCCATTGTTAGTAGCTCCGGTACTGGGCGGCACCTGGTTGGCATCTCTGTACAACATGGCCTACAAAACAACAGCATGAAAGTCAAGCTCCATCTTCAGAGGGGTTTAAAGATGAAGTGATATCGTTAGGATACAGTTTCTGAACCAATTACGACAATGATATATTTGTTTGTTGTTTAATGCCGCACTCAGCAATATTCTGGCTATCTGACGGCGGGATGGAAGTATTTGAGTCTGTACCAGACAAATCCAGTGGTTGACATCATGAGCATCAACCAAGTCAGCGAGCCTGACCACTGGATCCCGTTAGTCGCCTCTTACGACAAGCATTGTCACCTTTTAGCAAGCATGGGTTGCTGAAGACCAATTCTACACAATTGGGATACAATGACGTGCATCAACCAAATCAGCAAGCCTGAACGCCCAATCTCATTGGTCAGCTCTTACATCAAGCATTGGGAGCTGAAGACCAAAAGGAGTAAATTAATCTGATATTTATAGGTTTGTTGTTTAATGTCATTCTCAACAATAATTCAGCTATATCACAGCAGGCTGTTAATAATAGAGACCAGAACAGCCAGTCTATGATTATTATCAGCAATAATCAACTATATTGGTGTAAGCTCAACTGCTACAACCAAGTCATCGAATCAGATCATCCGACCATGGAGCCGCCTCTTAATCTCATGACCAGGATATTCCAACCATGAATCCCACAGGGTTGAATTCATAAGAATGATACATACCAGTGCTACTTGTGGGTCAACTATCTTCATGACAATCTGAGCCTGTAGCAGAGCATAGGCCAGCTGAGGGTTCTGTAGAAGCATGTTCCGGGCCTCATTTGGGTTGTTCTGGATACACAGCTGGAACAGAGCATGACATGGTCACAACATTGCAGTAGCTACCCAACATGCATCAGACATTCCCAGAGGTTGGCATGACAAATGCACAGCATTTAAGCCCTATACAAATCACCTCACATTCTCTTTTGAGCAGATTTTACTGGGATGGTACAGCTAGATCAGTTCATTTTCTTGTTTTGAAGACGAGCCTAAATGTTTGCAAGCGCAAAAACAGAAATGCCTTATGTCTCTAAATATTCATTTCTAAAACATTCTGTTGTTTGCATATTCAGGGAATTATCTAGACCTGGTCCGAGGCCGTTATTTGGCCCCAAGTGTGAAGCAGATGTCAGTAAACTTTCCCAAATTGGAATTAAAAAAGTAATTCTACAACAGGAATAACTAACGTGGTGGCTCTGCAGAGATGACTTGTATTTATGCTGGTAACAGAACCCATAAATTAGAATCGGCTTGAATGTTTACTTTTACATTATCGCATTGAATCAAATATCTACATATGAATTCAAGATAACAAAGAGTTATTAAATATTATCCTTTTTCCCCAAATTGTCTGCCAAGGGCATTGTGTTAAGAATGATAGATAAATCCATCATATAGGGACGAGGACCGTGTGGACCATGAGGACCATGTTGACCATGTGGACCATGAGGACCATGTTGACCATTTGGACCATGTGGACCATGAGGACCATGAGGACCATGAGGACCATGTTGACCATGTTGACCATGTTGACCATGTGGACCATGTGGACCATGAGGAGTTGAACTGACTACAAGGGTCTATCAGTATTATCCGCATCTTACCTTCATTTGTTTCATGAGTTCAAACATCTGTTCTGGTGGAAGACTGGCCACAGCCTTGGATATAGCTTCTGGAGCTTTCTCTGGCTCCACCGGCTCCCCATAGGGACTCTGCAAACAGTTGATAACATAGTCAGTGCACAGCAGTCAGTTTGGGTTGCAGTGACTTAAGTCAGGTCCCTAACGTGTGATTGGCTTAACTTGGATAGAGGTCCCCATTGGTGGGGTATGCATCTAGGTACCTCTAATCAATGTGAATCTTGTCTCTAGGGTGTGTTTGGCTCAACTTGATCTGAGGTCCCAACCAGAGGGGGATGCATCTAGGTACCTCTAATCAGTATAAATCTTGTCTCTAAGGTGTGTTTGGCTCAACTTGATCAGAGGTCCCCACCAGTGGGTGATGCATCTACCTCCAATCAGAATGAATGTTGTCCCTAAGGTGCGTTTGGCCTTTATCAGACATTCCTACAGAAAAACTTAAACTTGCCTCTATTGGAGGTCCCTACAGAGAGAGTTGCATGCACCTCTATCAGAGGTCCCTCCAGAGTGAGTAGAACTCTATCGGAGGTCCCTCCAGAGTGAGTAGAACACTATCAGAGGTCCCTACAGAGAGAGTTGCACTCACCTCTATCGGAGGTCCCTCCAGAAAGAGTAGAACTTACCTCTATCGGAGGTCCACCAAGGGCCTGCTGCATTCCTTTCATCTCCTCCTTGTTCTGTTCCCCTGCTGCGACACCAACACGCAGAGGTCGGCCATTGAAGTCATAATTGTTGAGGTTTCTCATGGCACTCTGAGCTGTCTCCACATCCTGGTACTCACAGAAGCCATAACCCTTCGGCTTCCCTGTCTCCCTGTCATACACCAATCTGGAGGACAAGACAGTGTGTGCTGTATGCAACGATCCTGCATCAATTCTGTTCAGGTCATGATTTATTTGCACATTTTACACACATACGCAGCCTTACTAGAGCTCTGAGACTTAGTGAGTGAGTGAGTGAGTTTAGTTTAACGCCGTTTTTAACAGTATTCCAGTTATATCGCGGCGTGTCAGCTTAATGTGGGAGGAAAGCCCGAAGCGATGCATGTCTCAGACGTTTACCACTTCAGTGAAACCCACGAGCACGGGCATGGTGCTGACAAACCTAGAAACATAATCGGGGCGAACCGGGATTCAAACCCACAATCATAGGAGTCTGGCGTGCCCAAGGGACCCAACTCTGCACAGCAAATCGACGACTGGGCCACCCGTGCCCCCGGGTGTAAAAGATGTAACTTAAGGTCAATCTGGAATGTAAACCTGCAAAAACCACAAGCATGCAGTTGGCAGTAGTGGTTACTGTTACACTCTCAATTGAAGTGATCAGCCCCATGTTAAAGGCCTAGGTTATACAATTGCAATACACACTTCAGTTAGCTGTTGAACACCTGGCTCCAAACTCACCATGTTGCCCTGGGTTTATCAGGGATGTACGAGATGTACCTGCATCTATCTACTTGTGAGTCATGGTGACTCTCCGGAATATTCACTGGCATACAAATAAAGGTGAAAGGTTAACCATGAAGTCCTACTTTACTCCATCGGCCGGTGGACATGTCGCTCATGGGGCACACTACACATGACACTTGACGTCCAAAAATTTTATTGACATGGTCACAGTTTACCTGGTCTCTTTTGCAAATCAGATGGTCTGAAGTTTGTGGATTTCTCATCATACCAGAAAATGCTTTACAGTATATGCTCATAATACTACAAATCAATAAGATTTAACGATCCTTACAGCCCTACCTGTTGCCATCTCACTGGACTCACTGTGTATGTTATTTGTGTCCATTCTCAATTCTAACTGGTATAGGAGTGGGACAATACTTTGTGTCAGGTTAAACCCCAAGTTATGTTAATAATCCAGCCTTTGAAAGGTATTTAGAAGTGATACACATAAGGAAGGGAATATATGGATGTCAGCTTCTGTTGACATCCATGTATTCTCTTCCTTATATGTTAATAATGATCAGCATGCAACCGTATGATTGGCATTCTAGAGGTTGATGATTAAGTAAGAAAATGTACGACTTAATGGATAACAACTGTTGGAGAATTGCATATAGCAAATTTTCGATGTAGCTTCTTACACTGTTCTTACACTGTTATCAAGCTGCAGCTTGTCACTCCAGCTTGATAATGGTGTAATAATTTACAACGAAATGTCGCCATACGCAATAAACCAGAAGTTGTTTCCCTAACATTCTCTTAGATGATCAGCATGATACAACTTCCTACCTGAAACTGACGACGGGTCCTGCCTGGGCAAAGATCTCCTTCAGTTGCTCTTCAGTTGTTTCATATGGAATGTTGCCAACTGAAAAAAATTTGGTGCAATTTAAAAAAAGAGAAAAGATTCCACAGTTTGGTGCCAATTTGACTCCAGTGAAGCTTGATTGAAATTTAATTCAGACTTGCAATGATATATGATAAACTATGCTGCCAGTGCCACAAATTCCAATCCGAGGAACTCTGAGTATATATGCGTCCATTTTGTTTGTGTAGTGGGCCAAGTCCACGCACCTTCTTGTCACTGTTGGGTACATTTGAAAGTGTGTACCCCTGTGGTGGTAGTATGTGTGCACTCTTAACTCTGGTGTGCTTGTCACGATTAAAAAAAGAATGAATTAATAGGACATCTGAGACATGTAGATATGTGCATAATATAATAAGCGATTGGCCAATCATTTCATTAATACAACAAAATACAGGGGAAAAAACAATAAAAGTCACATTTAATGGTAAGATAACCCTTAGGTTCCATTTTTATTCGTTCATTGTTTCTTATATGACCGAAACCCAATTACTTGAAGATACAAGGTTTGTAGCAAACCACCACCTCCTGTACTACAATCTCATCTGGTGGACAAGTCATTAATCTATTCAACCCTTTTGGTACAAATGATGAAGAGAAGATAGTGTTCACCACTCTTTATTGGCTGAGTCCTTCATAACATTAAATATGTTCTGAAGAGTAAAATAAATATATTCTTTAGTGATAATACAGCAAATAAATCAATTAAAGTTCTTGAAAAGGATTCAAACATTTATAATGTTCACCCAAAATCATCCCCAATAAAGGTTACATTTCATTTTGAAACAAGGATTTCTCCTTAAATTTAACTCGCTACAAAATTCACATTTACGGTAAATAAACATTTTCTTTGACTGATATTTACGCAGTAAAGAATAGTAACAATAGTTATACCATTTAGGGGAAATAACAATACTTGAAAACATTATAAATACTTCCAGCATATATTTTGAGCACTCAAAGATGATTGAAAATCGAACAACACGCTCTTTGAAAAATGCAAAATGAATTATCAATAAAGTTGACGTATTTCCAAAACTTGCATTTATGACATGATAATATATTAAACAAAAAACAGTATTTTATACCTGAAGATTAGTGCTCAGCCGCTAACTCTCTGCAACACACAGAAATTCTCACACATTTGACCATCGCAGGTCACTTACGCTCATCGCTGGAGCTCGCAAAACACAACAGGGAGTCATCATTATTTTGGAAACACAGTACATATACCAAAACTACTTGATCAAACCGGCAAACTAAAATATGTCTTTCTTGGCATAAATGAAATTAATTATTAGTTATTTTAGATTCAAATGTCATTTCAACCACCTTTCGTTACCTTGACAAGTTTGAGAAGTAATTTCATGAATGCAATATTCATGGTAGGTAGAAGATTATGAAATATATATATAAACATGATTTAACCTAGTGACAAGTGTTCTTACAGTTCAAAGTGTCCACTTGTTATAACAAAAGCTGAAGAATATCGCCTGTTAGTGTTATGGCAACAAAATATGTATCATGATTTCTTAAGCATCTTGTATCTTCATAGATGAATAGCTTATGGATGGCTTATGAATAAAATTGACTGACTCTTGACTCAAATGGAATATCATCAACAATAAATGACGAGTTATGTCCCTTTGCACATCGGAAAACGTTGTGGTTGCACGCTCGTACATCATAAGCAGTTTGAAATAACACAGTATGTGAACTTAAAAACTGGTGTGCATAGCCATACCAAAAACTGATCGCTGAGCTCTCTCAGCTGCCGTCATCGGCGGATTCGTCTGGTTCATAATATTCGCCATTTTCGTTTTGTCCGCACAACCTCGCGTGCTTGGTGTAAAAGCTCCAGGCAGCGATGCGGGCGGAGTCGCTAACAATATAACGTATTTGAAGCTCCACACATCGTTAAGGTACGGAACCGGAAGTACTGGGGCTTATTTGTTTGCACTTAAGTCTTTATTAATGTACAGCGATACATTCAGTTGTAAGTAAACAAAACTCAGATTTATCTTTAGCTGTACCTCCTATTTAATATCTTACATACTCAATATAAATTGTCGTCAATGCCAGAAACTATTTCGTTCAAAACAACACTCTAATTTGATAAAAATGTGTCGGACTAAATGTGGCATATCTACAGAGTAAACATGAGTAGCTGAACCAACGTGCATCATCTTTTTCAGGGTACTGGAAACATGGCCGGGTTGTTAGTGAAGAAAGCTGTCACTTACGTGAGAAGCAAAGAGTTTCGAGAATACCTATGCAGGTTGAACTTTTATTTCTTACCCACTAGACACATTGAGAGAGTCAAATGCAAAACACTTGTTAAATAATTGCAATATTGTTTCATTATAGTTGATTGCTAAAAACATTTTTTCCTTGACCTTAAATATTGCGATACAGTCGACTTGTTTCTTGTAGACTTATCCGCGCTTTAGACCCTAGTTAGTGAGATCTCTGTTATGACCTGTCATAGATTTATATTGTGATATACTGTATCCTATCATATGATGTGACCTTGTAAAAGCATGACGTCTTAGATTGTGAGATGAATGACTTTAGAATATGCATGATCCAGTAAGACAACTAACAAATATGCCAGGGTCAAGCACTCGCAGAGGGAATGATTCATTATGAAGGTGAACAGTTAGCCTTGGAAAGACTGTGTATTGGTTCAGTCCTACTAAAATTAAATCTTTTACTCCAATAAAATACTTCACTGCAGCCTGCATGCCTCTTCCCAAGGCAGAGAGTTAACTAACAATAAAAGTCCAGTTGCCACCCTTGCCAAACTAGGCTGGAATTATGGAGTTATATTTTGGCTGGACTAAGAATTCTGTGTATAGTTCAATCAAAATCCCATATTGAAGTCAACATCCGGTTCGTAAACTGCAGTGCATATTTCGATCGATGCTTAAAATTTATTTATTTAAATGGTAAATCATTATGTCTATTGATGTTTTATATGAAATTCCATATTTTATTGACAAGTTTGTTATACCTGTTCATTCACCTGAACTCGCTTGGATACGATGGTTTTTTAAAGCCCATAACTCTCAATATATTTTTGTGACGCTATGAATAATAAACGTCTACTATCCTAATCTTTCTTTTAAACTCTGAAACGTGCATCGTACATCGTGAGAGGTTGGCAGTGCATGTACTGTCGTGTTGGTCATCCACCCCCTATGACTCCATGTCGGTTAAACTGCTGATTGTCTATAACGCTCATCAATTATTTGGACCCCCAAGGTAGTGTTGTAGTGAGGGGTCACTGTATATTGATTAAAAATAAAATGAATTATTTTGTATGTGTATAGATAAATATTACCAATGTAGATCTGCAATTAATCAATTTAATGTTGGATATGAACTAGGCTAATCCATGAAATGCTTAAAATTGAATTTTCTACCTTGTCCATCTTATCTATGGAAATATTAGTAAATGTAAACGTTTCTGTGGCAGTGAGTTATTAAATTTTCGTATAAATATGCTTAAGTTTGTATCAATACACAGCGTTAGAAATTGGCACTAGTCCTGTAGTCCTTGCCAAACTAGCTAGTAGTTAAGGTATCATAAGGACTTGTACAAATTTGCTAAGTTTTAGGGGTTTTGATATATGTTATCATCATAAGGACTAGAAGACCAAAAATGTTAGTTTCTACCGCTGTATACATCATCAACATCAAGACTTTGCGATGACATACCTCCCTTGAGGCAGAGCTCCAAACAAGCTACCATTTGGGGAAAATAATTTTTAGTTGTCAGGCCCCAAAGTTGCGACTAAAACGGTAGCCAATGCGACCTAAATTTCAGTTTGTCTACTGTCTAAAATTCAGATGTAGCCAAATGACCACCTAGAAAAATATCTTGTGGCAACTAAATTCTATTGCTACACATCTGTAGATATAAAAATAAATACCAGCTGATATTGGAAAACACGCCTGCTAATAATTGTACTCGCTACTAATTCGTTCTAAAGTCGACAATGGACCAATTAAAAAATAATATAATTAGTACTTTATTTTAGTTGGCAATGCTCATTGGATAAGTGAGGATATACCTATATAATCTAGTAACATAAATTACATCATTGTTCAAGTCACAAATAACAACATTCAAGTACAGTTTCCATTAAGATACAATTTCAAGAATAGTCATGTAACTTGTATATATTGATTACTGATCATGCTGATGTTACATACATATCTGAACTCTACTGTCGTGACTACTGGTTGTGCACAGATGTGTAGCTTTGACACATATCACTGTCATGACATTATGCGATGTGTGACTCATTTGGGGCATCACTTTAATATGTGCTAGCAGTGATAGAAACAGTTTTAGTCAACTCACATTTATGATGATAACATATAGCAAAACCCTTAAAAAGGGCCAATTTCTACTAGTCCTTATGAGACCTTAACTATTGGGAAGATTGTCAAGGACTATGGAACTATTGCCAATTTCTAATGCTGGCTAGGTACTTGAAACAGAAGAGAAGTAGAATATGTCCAAAAAGAATCTACTCACTGGTTGATGAAGACCAGGAGACTGGACTTCTTGCTGAATACTGTAAATCTTGAAATTAACACGAGCATGAATTAATTGCGAAAAATGCGAGTAGTCTTTGCTTGCATTAATAAATATCGCATTTATATCCACGATTTAACACGCAACACAGTGTCTATGTTCTTTGCGACTGCGTCAAAGGCCGACAGGAGCCAGCACGCATGTATTGTTTCAGCGGAAGTACTCTACTCAGCACTAATTAGCAGTGCTATTTGGTGTGTGATTAGATTAATGTAAGATTGGATTAAGGAGAGGATTATCCTGTAAACCTGACAGAGGACATTTTTGTTAGATATAATTCCACTGATGCTTGAGAGGAGGGGGTGTCGCATTCATATTGAGTCGCATTTTTGGCTAGGGGCCAGTGGTCGCATTCTTTTGGAGACGCATTTATTTCACGATTTACAGTACTCAAAGAAATGTATGAAATACCCAAAGTGAATGACAGTGTGAGTACATGCTCCGTGGCTCAAAAAAACATCTGGAGCCTGCTTCAAGTGTGCATCATTCGCCCATGCTATGTATTATAATTAATATGTACAACTAATAACTATTTTATCATGTTTATGGCTTTTTAGAAGTAACCTGTATTCACTTAAACAAGACCAATAAATAGGAACATGGTTTTATATTATTGCAATTAATGCAGTCTCAAAAGAAATCTTATGTAATAAAATATATGTGTAACACAAGAGAACCTTATCTTCTCATCTGTCATGGAGGAAACATAGACATGATTATTATGATGATTTCCACCAATAAACAATACCTGGCTGTAAATATCATTATCCACTAAAAGCAGTCTGTGATATATCAGTTTGTTAATGTTGTGTCGGGTTACAAATAAACCTATGTTATGTGTAAATATTATATGTGAATATCTGTTTATGGGCAGAGCTCCAGATAACTTTTGGAGCAATTGAGTTTTTACTCAAAGGTTTCTATTTTAATTGGGTTATTACATTTTTCATTGGGTAAACAATAATTTTTCTCTCTATTGGTATTTTCCCAAAATGAGTAAACATTTTGAGATTTAAAAAAGAGAAAATAATGTTTTAGATCAATATGAAGGTTCTAACTGTAGGCTTGACCCGGAAAGTAAATTAGCTCGAAACTGTGTTTTGGAACTTAGCTCCTGTCGGCACATCACAACTGGAATGCGGCTTGACCTTGCTAGACTTATCGTTTAATGACATCATTCATCATATTCAGTGTGTATACTACCACTGCAACTACTGTTGCTATTTTGTGAGATCTCACATTCATTTACTCTTATGTTTAAACTTTTGTTACCTTTGTTCGTTAGTCTAGAAAATTCTGGACTGGCAACATTTTATCTGGTCTGTTGCAATGTTGCTAGTCCAGTTGTCCGACTGAAATATTGGGGAATCTTTTAACTGCTACTACTTCTACCTCTACCACAACCTTCACTACTACTACTACTACTACTACTACTAGCTACTACTAGCTACTACTACCACTACTACTCACCCACCCGTAAAGATCCGGGGTAGAATAGGTATCGGGTGGTCAGGCTCACTGACTTGGATGATGCATGTCATCAATCCCAATTGCATTGATGTCAATCACTGGATTGTCTGGTCCCGATTCGATTATTTACAGACCGCCGTCATACAGCTGTAATTTTGTTGAGTGCAGCGTTAAACAACAAACTAACAAACTACTACTACTACTACTACTACTACTACTACTACTGCAGCTATGTATTTGCTAGTCATGCCAAGGGTTTCAGTTTTTTTGTATACCAGACTATTTTAATATCGCGCTCTGAGAGCTTTCTATTATTTTGAAAGCTGATGATAATGTTTCGTTGTCTTGCTTTGTTTCATGCTGCTGTGTCCTGCCTCTACCAACATGTCTCCACATCAGCACAGTAAGTTCCAACAATACACAACATTCATGTACAATCAGAACATGACTTGTGAATATCTTGACGGACAAGTTGTTTTATTGTTAGATAAGTCTGTAACGTTATATCAAACTATTGAACAATCGCAATTGTTTGCCCTACAAAAGTACTTGTTATACGAAATTATTAACAGTATCATTGATAGTATGCATCTTTTTGACATTCACATAGAATATGTATTATTTATAACTAATTGCAGCTTTTGAACGATCCCAATTGTTTGCCCTACAATTGTATCGTTTATAGTATGCAACCAATGAAACTATCGATTGTTAAGAACAAGTTTCATTGGTTGAATTTAGTTATAAAATAATATATGTTTTATGGGAATGTCAGACTTTTCTCTGTGTTTGGTTAGCAAAGATTACTACAACTTCAGATTAGAGTTACATCACTGCCATAGTAATCTTAGTAATGGTACTTAAAGTTTTTGACGAGGGGTCGTGGGAACACTTACTCTTCTGAATAGATCTACTTTTTGTGAAATATCTACATTTGTGCAGAATTATCTGTGAATATTCTCACAGTTGATGTGGTTGATGATGAAGATACAGTAAATAATATGTGACATCTCACTACCTGCCATCTTGTTTCAGCACTTCTGGGGGCCGGGTGAGTACACTGCAGCATTGTCAATGGTACAAACTCATTGTAATCAGATCTTACTGCTCACCATCGCTACACATTACAGTTCATGTCGGAACGAACCTAGTACACTGCAGCATTGTCAATGGTACAAACTCATTGTAATCAGATCTTACTGCTCACCATCGCTACACATTACAGTTCATGTCAGAACGAACCTAGTACACTGCAGCATTGTCAATGGTACAAACTCATTGTAATCAGATCTTACTGCTCACCATCGCTACACATTACAGTTCATGTCGGAACGAACCTAGTACACTGCAGCATTGTCAACGGTACAAACTCATTGTAATCAGATCTTACTGCTCACCATCGCTACACATTACAGTTCATGTCAGAACGAACCTAGTACACTGCAGCATTGTCAATGGTACAAACTCATTGTAATCAGATCTTACTGCTCACCATCGCTACACATTACAGTTCATGTCAGAACGAACCTAGTACACTGCAGCATTGTCAACGGTACAAACTAATTGTAATCAGATCTTACTGCTCACCATCGCTACACATTACAGTTCATGTCAGAACGAACCTAGTACACTGCAGCATTGTCAATGGTACAAACTCATTGTAATCAGATCTTACTGCTCACCATCGCTACACATTACAGTTCATGTCGGAACGAACCTAGTACACTGCAGCATTGTCAACGGTACAAACTCATTGTAATCAGATCTTACTGCTCACCATCGCTACACATTACAGTTCATGTCAGAACGAACCTAGTACACTGCAGCATTGTCAATGGTACAAACTCATTGTAATCAGATCTTACTGCTCACCATCGCTACACATTACAGTTCATGTCAGAACAAACCTTTCATGAACTTTGACAGACCAATAAAATAATAAACAGAAAGTACAAAATTAACCAATCAAAAAGCAGCTTTCTTGAGCTTTATGGCACTTGTTTTCGATTGGTGTCATCTTTTCCAGACTGAGCTTTGAAAAATTGTTTGACATAGTTCTTGATTAAAAATTTGAAAATTTAACGAAAGAAAACAAGAAAAATCTGGAATGTCCAATAGGTGGCCCAGATTGTATGGCAGTACTTCCCAGGTGCCATGGATAGTCTCTTTCCTTTCAAATGTCTATCGACCGCCTCCGTGGTCTAGTGGTAGAGCGGAAGGTCCGGGGTTCGATCCCCGGCCGCGTCATACCAAAAGACGTTAAAAGATGGTACAAGGACTGGTCAGCTCGGAGTCAGTATACTGTGTCTGAGTGGGGTATTCATGTTAAACTGCGACATGGTATCTCAGTGAGCTAGCACTATAAATCAGCATTAGTCCGGACTAGTACAAGCACCCTCACACATACATACACGTGCATGCACGTCGCTATATAAGTGCACTAATCTTGGACGCGACGTTAAACCCCATTTCACCTCACCTCAAATGTCTATCCCATTGAAGCGGGAGACAGACAATGATTTTGAAGAAATCAGTCGTACTGCCCATAACTGTCGTTCAGATCACCCCATGTTAACCTTTTTGAGGTTGCACGATTAGAAAACATGTGGGATCTCGTAAGCGACGCTGAGTTCTTGCGGATGAAGGTTATTCTGTTGTGACCTGTAATGGGACGTCCTTAGATCTTTGTGTAGTGGTAGTAAGAAATAAGATCTTATTTTTATGAGATTGACCATGTTACAACTAATACTGCTAATTAACACTGTTTCTTAAGTTACGAAAAAAGAATCAAGGGATTTATATGGGATTCCAAACAAATTGCCTTGGTGGGCAAATTTGGAAAAAGTCATTATATTTGTTCAAAATTGGTCTTTTTTAAAGTTCTCATTGTGTTAAATTCAGATATGTAAATACAAGACATGATTGCCCCATGGGTATTAAGGGTTAGTATAGGTCTCCAGTGTTGCATCTGGATGCTAGAGGCGACCAGATGGATCGGGTGGTCAGACACGGTGACTAAATTGATAATGTGTCATACTACCCTCACCATGTGCAAGAACCCTGAAAATTAAATATTGGAGGTAGGGCTGGGACGGGTAACTCGGGTACTCGGGTCAGGTGGGTACTGAGTAGGACCCGGGTACCCACAGGACTACCTGGTACTAGGGCTGGGACGGGTAACTCGGGGACTCGGGTCAGGTGGGTACGGAGTAGGACCCGGGTACCCACAGGACTACCTGGTACTAAGGCTGGGACGGGTAACTCGGGTACTCGGGTCAGGTGGGTACTGAGTAGGACCCGGGTACCCACAGGACTACCTGGTACTAAGGCTGGGACGGGTAACTCGGGTACTCGGGTCAGGTGGGTACTGAGTAGGACCCGGGTACCCACAGGACTACCTGGTACTAAGGCTGGGACGGGTAAGTCGGGTACTCAGGTCAGATGGGTACTGAGTAGGACCCGGGTACCCACAGGACTACCTGGTACTAGGGCTGGGACGGGTAACTCGGGTACTCAGGTCAGATGGGTACTGAGTAGGACCCGTGTACCCACAGGACTACCTGGTACTAGGGCTGGGACGGGTAACTCGGGTACTCGGGTCAGGTGGGTACTGAGTAGGACCCGTGTACCCACAGGACTACCTGGTACTAGGGCTGGGACGGGTAACTCGGGTACTCGGGTCAGGTGGGTACTGAGTAGGACCCGGGTACCCACAGGACTACCTGGTACTAAGGCTGGGACGGGTAACTCGGGTACTCGGGTCAGGTGGGTACTGAGTAGGACCCGGGTACCCACAGGACTACCTGGTACTAGGGCTGGGACGGGTAACTCGGGTACTCGGGTCAGGTGGGTACTGAGTAGGACCCGGGTACCCACAGGACTACCTGGTACTAGGGCTGGGACGGGTAACTCGGGGACTCGGGTCAGGTGGGTACTGAGTAGGACCCAGGTAACCCACAGGACTACCTGGTACTAAGGCTGGGACGGGTAACTCGGGTACTCGGGTACTCGGGTCAGCTGGGTACTGAGTAGGACCCGGGTACCCACAGGACTACCTAGTACTAAGGCTGGGACGGGTAACTCGGGTACTCGGGTCAGGTGGGTACTGAGTAGGACCCGGGTACCCACAGGACTACCTGGTACTAAGGCTGGGACGGGTAACTCGGGTACTCAGGTCAGATTGGTACTGAGTAGGACCCGGGTACCCACAGGATTACCTGGTACTAGGGCTGGGACGGGTAACTCGGGTACTCAGGTCAGATGGGTACTGAGTAGGACCCGTGTACCCACAGGACTACCTGGTACTAGAGCTGGGACGGGTAACTCGGGTACTCGGGTCAGGTGGGTACTGAGTAGGACCCGGGTACCCACAGGACTACCTGGTACTAGGGCTGGGACGGGTAACTCGGGGACTCGGGTCAGGTGGGTACTGAGTAGGACCCAGGTACCCACAGGACTACCTGGTACTAGGGCTGGGACGGGTAACTCGGGTACTCAGGTCAGATGGGTACTGAGTAGGACCCGGGTACCCACAGGACTACCTGGTACTAGGGCTGGGACGGGTAAGTCGGGTACTCAGGTCAGATGGGTACTGAGTAGGACCCGGGTACCCACAGGACTACCTGGTACTAGGGCTGGGACGGGTAACTCGGGTAATCGGGTCAGGTTGGTACTGAGTAGGACCCGTGTACCCACAGGACTACCTGGTACTAGGGCTGGGACGGGTAACTCGGGTACTCGGGTCAGGTGGGTACTGAGTAGGACCCGGGTACCCACAGGACAACCCGGACCCGGGGTTAGTCACATGATTATATTGTTTAATCACTTTAATGGCAAAAAATATTGAGAACTTGGTTACACTATAAGTCACAAACTTCTTTCTGACCATAAACCCATTCCTTCTGACTTTATATGTTTGCATATATATATAACTTCAGTCAACTTCAGTGTATGCATGACAAGATCGGATTATACGTGTATCTAAATTTATTTCGACAGGAGTACGGTCAAACGTTTCCCAATCAGACATTTTGTACCTCTCTCTTGAGGCCTACAGCGGGTACTGAACAGGGTCGGGTAATCAGGGGTAGGGTACCCGGGTAGTCAATTTAGACTTGTCCCAGCCCTAATTGGAGATCCCCCGGACCCCAATGTTTGTAAGTCCAGGTAAAACCTTGTCATAGGAAAGATATTATTCCAGTATCCAACTCAGTGGTCTCCTTGTCTCTGTGTTAACACGTGATCATGCTCCTCACTGCAGTGGCCAACTGGGGACTCCCGCTGGCTGCCATGGGGGACTTGAAGAAGGACCCGGAGATTATCAGTGGGAAGATGACCTTAGGTGAATTGACCATAGGTTTCACAGCTTGACATGTTGACCACTACCCGGGACCTGTTAAATTTCTGTATGCTTGTAGACATTGTAACTGACAGCCTCTCTTTTGAGTCTATGATGAATGAGACGAGATATGATCAGAGCTCCATATAAGCTTTTTATTTGTGTAAAATATGCAAACTTAATCACCATCAGTTACTTTTTTTAGTTGCTTTCATACATGTAACAGATGTTATATGTGGGATAACACTTTCTGAGTAAAGTACAGATTCTCATACTTTTGGGGGGTTGAGTCCCATGCAGAATTTGAACCCACACTGCCAGAGTGAGGCAACGAATCGCCAGCTCAAAGTCAGCGATCTATCCCACTCAGCCACCGAGGCTTCAACAATAATGAAAGTCTGACAACTGGTAGTCTAGGTCACAAACTTTGTGTACTCCTCTGACAAGTGTAAATATGCATGGCTGGTTGAATGTGTTAAATCGCTGACTTTGTGTGCTGGCAATTAGGTGCCTCACTCTGGCAGTGTGGGTTCGAATCCCGGACTGGACTCAACCCTAAAAAAAGTACGAGAATCTGGACTTTACTCAGAATGTGTTGTCCCAAATATAACATCTGTTACATTTGACCACTTTCTAAATGGCATTGTGTGTTCATTGCTTTCATACAATTACGAATACCGTATTCAACATAATAAGCGCCCGGGGCACTCTCAAAATTAGAAATAGGGGGCTCTTATCAGAATGTAATTTTGGTGAGAGTAAAAACAGAGTTGTAAGATCGTAAATTTCGTAGTTTGTGCTGACAGCCTGAAATGATACAAAAGAAAAGTATGTGCGTATCATACACGACAGATATATTTTCCAGAATTTAATTAATCAAGGATGCATATAACACACGAGTGTGTATATTATAAATAAGGCTTGTGTACATTGATCAATCAGAAGAGGTGCTAACTGGGATTGTTCAGTAGCCAGTATATTAGAAAATATCGCGATGGGTGATTATTAGAGTGGGGCGCTTATTACGTCGAATACGGTAATCAGATTGGTAACCCAGTAGGAAAACAACACTGTGTGTTATGACCCACTGTAGCTGTTTCAGCTTGCATGCACTATGTCTGTACTTGCTTTAATGAACTCTACTGCAGTGCAACATCTGGCTCAATGTAACTTCGACCTGTATCACTGTCACCTGGAGCCCTGGGCTCTGTTCCACAAAGCAATCGTAGCGCTACGACTGGCGTAAGACTATGCTACAGAATGGGAGTTACAATCATCTTAGCGCTACGACTGGTGTAAGACTATGCTAAAGAATGGGAGTTACGATCATCTTAGCGCTACGACTGGCGTAAGACTATGCTAAAGAATGGGAGTTACGATCATCTTAGCGCTACGACTGGCGTAAGACTATGCTAAAGAATGGGAGTTACGATCATCTTAGCGCTACGACTGGCGTAAGACTATGCTAAAGAATGGGAGTTACGATCATCTTAGCGCTACGATCGCTTTGTGGAACAGGGCCCAGGATGATTGTAGTTTGTTGGAAATTATGAAATTACTTAGAAGGACTTTGTATTCTGAACACACCAATGACATCGTCGCAGCGTTCCCATCTTATTCCAAGCCAAAATTTAAAAACATTCAACAAAACTTGGCATATGCATTGCTCAACACCTTAACTGGTTCCTTTTGCTATTTTGGAAATTCTCTTAATTTCAATTTTTATGTGTCCATGGAAACAATTTCGACTTTGTCTCAAACGAGGGTAGGGTTCATTTCCGGACCCTGACTTGAAAACCGTTCAACATGTTTCGATGAAACTTTGCATATGCATTGCTCATCAGCTTAACAGGTGCCTTTTGCTATTTTAAAATTTTTCTAAATTGTATTTTCTAATGTTTCCATGGAAACGATTTCAACTCAGTCTCAAACAATTAGCGTTTTGTTTCCTGCCAAAAGTCTACAGGTAATGAATATTTCTTCATGAAACCATTATCTTCCCCGACTATAATATGTTATAATTATTTTTAGGACTTGCTTACATATTATGGTAACAACTTTAACTAATGTATCAAACAAAGGTTAGGGGAGATATGGTTTTTTTTAGTAGAAACATGTTCTAGCATTTGTCATGCTGCCATATTTTGTTGCAGCTCTGGCTATCTACTCCATGCTGTTCATGAGGTTCGCTATCAAGGTCCAGCCACGCAACATGCTGCTCTTCTCCTGTCACATCACTAACGAGGCTGCTCAGCTAACTCAGTTGGCAAGGTTTATGAAGTTCCAGTAAGTCTGTTTGTTTGTTTGTTTGTTTGTTTGTTTGTTGTTTAATGGAGCACTCAGCAATATTCCAGCTATATGATTTTGTTCTGTAAATAATTGAGTCTGGACCAGACAATCAGACCAGATTGACATCATGAGCATCGATCCACACAATTGGAATACGATGACATGCATCAACCAAATAAGCGGGCCTGACCCCCCGATCTCGTCTGGAATATCTGCTTCTGTCTGCTGTATCCCCCAATGAACACCCAGGATGGACTTGGCCTTCAGCAATGTCGTAAGAGACAACAAATGGGATCAGGTGGTCAGGCTCCAGACTTGGTTGATGCTTTTCGTAGCATCCCAATTGCATTGGTTAATGCTCTTCATGTCAATGATGGGATTGTCAGGTCCAGACCTACTTCATGTAGCTATGAGACCCATGAAGATTCAGTGCTAGAATAGGTCTTCAGCAACCCATACTTGCCGTAAGAGGTGACTATGCTTGTCTAGAAAGGCGACTAACGGGATCGGGTGGTCAGACTCGCTGACTTGGTTGATACATGTCATCGATTCCAATTGCATGGGTCAATGCTCATGATGTCAATCACTGGGTTGTCTGGTCCAGATTCGATTATTTTACAGACCGCCGTCATATAGCTGGAATATTGCTGAGTGCGGCGTTAAACAACAAACAAACAAACAAATCATGTAGCTATGAACAAATGTTTGATGAATCAGAGCCTCTCCTCCTGTACAATTGGAAAAGATATGTCTGCTTGTGGGTTCAAATCCGAAGTTCAAACCGGTATGAGTTACAGCGGATATTGTCACAGATGGCATTGTATTAAGCAGGGTATTGACTTACAAACAGTCCACTTAGTTCGTTTATCGGTGTCATCAGCCAAGTTGGAAGATTCCTTGAATCTCATACACCTTAAATGTAAATTAGACCCGTGAAGATCTGGGGTAGAATAGGTCTTCAGCAACCAATGCTTGTCGTAAAAAGCGACTATGCTTGTCGTCAGGTGCATCTAACAGGATCGGGTGGTCAGGCTTTCTGACTTGGTTGATGCATGTCATCGTATTCTAATAGCATGGATTGATGCTCATGATGTGAATTAATCAATCATCAGTTTTATTGTGGTTTTATCTTCGTGGTTTTCCTGTTGATTTTTTGTTTCAACATCATTGTTATTCTTTTCAGCTATTTTTCTGATGCGTCAAAGAGAGAGAAGCAGCAGATGGAGGCCAAGCCCGAATCAGCTGACAAGCCACATATATCTCCCTCCTCCCCGTAAATAAAGTTGAGAGACACACGGTTGTTACATCTATCTGCAGGGAGTCCTCCCACTGATACACTCACAGACATGTCAGCACTTGTACCTTGGTGTGTAGCTTGACACTTCGTCACAGGGTGTACTTTTGCTCTTCAGGGTGTACTGTTGCACATCAGGGTGTAGTGTTGGGCATTAGGGTGTACTGTTGCACATCCAAGACCTCGATGTAATTTTACACTCTTACGGGAGTATTGCTACACTGCTAGTGTGTAATTTTAAACTCTTACGTGAATGTTGCTACACTATCAGTGTGTAATTTTACACTCTTACAGGGGGACAGTTACATTTTGTGTAATTTTACACTCGTACAGGGTATTGCTACACTATCAGTGTGTAATTTTACACTCTTACGGGGGGACAGTTACATTTTGTGTAATTGTACACTCGTACAGGGTATTGCTACACTGTCAGTGCATAATTTTACACTCTTATGGGCATATTATTACACTTTCTGTGTAATTTTACACTCTTACGGGTGTGTTGCTACACATCAGTGTATACTGTTACATAGGTATTTATAGACATCTGTGAGCGTCTTACTATAGTGTTACATATTTGTGCATCTACAACGAAACTGATTACTCATATCACGGACTAAGTTACAAATTAGCCCTCCTTGCACAGATCTGCACACAGGGACTGAAGTGAGTGTATCGTGAATGTTTGCGATGTGGACAGCAAGATGTAACTGCCGATGTACCACAATGGTGCCGTGTGATCGAGGGATGGCTGGGCCGAGTCACCTACAGACAATATAAGATATCATGTCCATCCTCTTTTAACATTAGTTATTTACAGTGAAATTTTCTTATCCATAGGTTATACTTTTTGAGTGAGAGATTGTACAGTTGTTGGTTTTGTTATTTTATAGACATGTATAATTATTTTCAGATGTTGATTATTCATGAATAACACACAAAGGGCATCATACTCAACCTGTGCTTGCTGTATCAAGAAAAGATACTGTTTGGGATCATGAAGATTTTTATAGCTATGTTTATGAAAGTGTGTGTGCTCAGTCTTGACTGCAAACAAATTTCCCCAAAAATATTTGTGATCCCTAACTTTGTTTTTTCGGTATATGGTTTCGGAAACGGTGGATATACATGTTGAGTATGTTTGCAACCCTGTCTGAAGACTTGGTCCTGATGACGTCCGGTGATATTATTTAAGGCAGTATTTAGAGTTTCAAGTCAATGCTCAAGAGGTTGTTGATATTTACACACATCAGGTGTATGGTTTGTCCATCTCATTAAAATCAGATCTTAGTTCTCGCTACCACTAAACAAAGATCTTAGGACATCCCATTACGGGTCACGTCAGAACGACCTTTCATCCGACCAATCAGAGCGTCGCTTACCAGATCATGAAAGGGACGGTCGGAATGTGTTTTCTAATCATGCAACCACGATATATTTAACACGGGGTATTCCGAACGACAGTTTCAGGTTTTATGATTATATCCATAAAATCTAGGCCATCTATAAGCCATAGCCATTCCAGAATGTTCTTATCAGTTTTAAAATTTTTAATCGAGAATACGTCAAAATATGTTTCGAAGCGTAGTCGCCAGTTTGAAACTAGTGTCGTAAAGCTCGAGAAAGCTGCTTTCTGATTGGCCAATGTCGATTTGTTGTCAGTCATGTCATTGGTCGGTCAAAATTCGCGAAAGGTCGTTCTGACGTGACCCGTAATAGGATGTCCTCAGATCGTTGTTTAGCGATAGCGAAAACTAAGATCAGATTGTTTGCTGACCAACCCCACAAAGTTTTTATTTGAGAAAAATAGAACTGTGTAAAATTTTTCCTCTCATTATGTCTCCAATTAATACAGTTGTTACAAACACCTTTAATGATTAACTTGCTACATACCATTCAGATTGCCTGGACAGTATTAAACATATGCTGCTTAACACCAATTGAGCTAACCACCATCTAGTTAAATGTAATTATCTACTCTATGTAATCAGACACAGAGAGCTATATTCTACACAGAGACTTTAAGGTTCCAAAAAATAAAAGAATTGGTTCTCAGGCAATGTTTTTGAAAATATAGTGCAGGCTGGCGGTGTCTTTTTTTTCTTCTTTTTTTGTTGTTGTTGTTCAAACTGGTATGTAACCAATAAACAGTTGTGTAATTAATATACAATTGTGTAAAATAAACCTGGGAAAGGGCCTCCCTACATAAATGTATTCCTTGATGAGTAAAACACTGGAATACAGTAATTGTCTACCGTTGGACTTGGAATATTTAAGCATTTAAAAAAAATATTTTTAAATGGAAATAAAAACGAAACGTGCGGCAAACTTTTTAATGATGCGGGCGGTACCTGAGAACCAAGACTTTTATTTTTTTAGCCTTATGAATGTAGGTTTTTGAAAGAGCATGTTTTTCTTGGGCACTATGCTGATGAAGTAGCAGGTCCTATCAACCTCCAATAAGGCTGGCACAGTTATTTGTGTCGTGTTGAAGAACGCCTGGAGCGAAAAAAGAATTGTGAAAAACCAAAGAGGATTGACAATATATAATCTTACAATTATTGATGAATAGTCAGATCTTGCATGTTAGCCCAGCTTTCCCATAGTCATGAATTTACAAACTTGCCAAAGTAAATGCATTTAGTATTATTATTTGTTATTATTCGATAGTTTTTAATTTCGTTTTTCTAACTAACACTTATCATATTTTAGGCAAAGCTACTATTATAGGCATGATGGTTCTGTATTAATATATATGTCGAATATTGCACATTAATGTACAGAAATGATGGAGCGGAGCCCTGTATACAGAGCAGGCAACCATCTGTCCGTGCGTGTGATGCACAACGTGTGTATTACAATGCTGTCTGATTGTTTAATGCGCACAAAATTGCAGACAGTGGTGACAGCTTTACTCAGGATATTAAATCCAGGTGATGAAGAAATCAAAATGAGATTGTGTTGTTTCAGCAGCACAATTTTATAGAATATTATAATTTGCTTATTGTCCAACTGAGGTTCTCACTGATGTGAAGCTGTCTAGTTGCTTCTTCTGTTTGTATATGATGCAGGAAACACAGTTTATTAATCTGGGCAGATTGGGATGCATTTGGCCGTATCCACTTTCTTAGATAACTCTTGTGAAAAAGACAACTGTTTTGTTTTCTTGAAGCTTTCTTCTTGTGGAAACAGGTCTACATTCAATAACTCTGTTTGCATGGCTTTTTATTTTTACCATTAAGCATAGAAGACTTTCAGTGTTTTAATTGGTAAACAGTTAAGAGTTTTTTTCCAGCTGCCACTGAAGAAGGCAGCCCCATGATGCAGGATAAGCCTGTTTTACCTTCCATGCTGTGTTAGATAATCAGACAATTATTCCTCCTTGATCTGGATGGAAGTGCAAAGTTTCGAATGAGCTTTTTGTTAATCAGATCAGGAAGAACTCAAGTGAATTTGATGCTTGGTAAAAAGTACAAATTATTCTGTCTGGATGTTGCATCAGGACAGTCATTGACCAATAAAATGAGAGGGATGGACAGTGTATCAGGATATTATCAAGATCATTGCCTTCTTGCGGGAACATTATCAATGCCACTGTGTACTGTGTTAAAGGGGGACTAAACTCGGGCAGATTTGCAGTCTCAGCACATTTTAGGTTCCTCAAACACAAATACTTGTGTCCGCTGGTTCATATATTATGACACATGAATTACACAGAGACAATGTCTCGTTTTCACCCAGGTGTTAATTACAATATCTAGGAATGGTCTGACACCAGAGCTAGGAGTATGGTCCCCCTTTAAAAGTTGTTCGCCAGCTGACCTGCGGAGATATCTTATTCAGTCCTATTTATCACTCAGTTGTAATTATTGGGTAGGAATGAGCTACATATACATAGCTGATGATGGCACAGTTTTCTGTAAAGTTTTAGGTTTGTTGGTTCGATACACCAATCTCATTAAGAAAGAAGCTTTGACTCCGATGCAATACATTTCTGCATGAAGATCTGAGGGCATCTCCATGGGATGTCGCTTCAGGCGGACTCTGAGTGAACTTTGGCTGCCCTTTGTAATTGAAGAGCATGGGTTCTTGAGCCAATCAGATGTCGGCTTTCTGAACGAGTTGCCGTCACTTCTTTACCACCTCTTTTCAGAAATGTCTATCTCAGCAAAATAATCAGCCTCAGGGTATACACACCCTTTTGAGTGTAGATGCCATGACATTTGGGAACAGGATGTATTTATGTCAAATATTCACAACAAAATGATAGAGTAGCTTTAATTTTTTGCATTCTGAACTGCACAATAATATTCGTTTTCAAAGAAACAGAAATCAGATGTGTTTGTCTGAATGCTTCGCTCATGTGTACCTAAATTAGAAGCCTTGGCTCTGATTAGAATGTACACCTGACATGACTTCTTGTCTTCAGACTTGGGTATTGTATTGGAGTAAAAATGATTTCAGTGAGATTGGTGGTAAGAGTGACAGACTCAGGTAGAAGTGAGGTATTATTGTGGCTGTTCTTCCTTTCATCATAGTCCGTTGCAGACTGATCAATGGCTTTCTACAACATGAGTCACATGTTTGTTTGGTAATTGGTCCAATATTTATTTGATAAGAGTGAACTTTTCTCAGTATTGGTTGGTTGGTTTGTTGTTTTTTACGCCACACTCAGCAATATTCCAGCTATATGATGGCGGTCTGGAGTCTGGGCCAGACAATCCAGTGATTGACATCATGAGCATCGATCCAAACAATTGGGATTGATGACATGCTTCAACCAAGTCAGCAAGCCTGACCACCCGATCCCCTTAGTCACTTCTTACGACAAGCACAGTCGCCTTTTACGGCAAGCATGGGTTGCTGAAGACCTATTCTACCCCGGATCTTCACGGGTCCCCACAGTATTGAGTACAGTCACAGACATAACTACCTCGTCAGTTGTGACTCAGCTAACCACAGCCATAATCTGTACTTCACTAGTTTCTTTAAAATAAGTAGCTTTTTTTATATTTTGTTTCTTTCAGCAGTCCAAGGTCAAAGAAGTTTAAAAGTTTAAGGGGATTTATGAAAAGAGTTAGTTAGCCAGATTCTAAAGCAAGACCAACTATCACTGGTAGACTTCTGTCGGACATTTGTTAACTTATGCTTTTTAATTTTATGCATTATATGTTAAACGATGATTGTTGTGTTTGTTTGCCACAACGATGCATCATTATTCATGTTACATACCCTGTCATGTAGACAGTTAAAATCATCAATTGACAATTAGGATTTGAGGGTGAACTTACGGATATTTAACAAATGGCTTGATCAAAGGCTGTTCAGTTGTGGGAACTGACAATAATATGCTCAATCATACCTTTTTGCATTTATTAATCTCGAGTCGAGTGTTGTGAATTTTGGTTACAGGAGCAACGTCAGAGCTCCATTTCAAAGTGAAATGATGAATGTGTGTTGCAGCATTTTCTGCCCTCTGTTTTTATTTCACTAAATATGTACCCTATTTCCTCAATTAAGACCTGAATTTTAAGGTTACTTTCAGACCTGGCTCATATCTAATTGAGGCCAGCACATTGTTGATGTCCCTGACTTTATTTGACAAGCTTACAAGAGCCACAGCCCAAAATAGAGAATAATGTGTATCTCATAAGCTGATGATCTTTTGTGCAAGGCGCAACTATCTCATCCTTCTTTGTCCTTTCACTGTAGGTATTACTAGTAGGTATTACTAGTAGATGATGTAGTTGCCCAAACCCAGTAGCTTGTTTGAACATATGTTGTGTATAGAGACAATTTAGTCATGGCTTACATTTTGTTTTTAGAGAATGGTCCCTACGTAACCACCCACTGTTATTTATTTCTTCATATTCCCTACAATGGCACCCACCAACACAGAGGGTCCAGAGACCAGTGTTCTGTGTTTTGTCCTTGATGTATGTAAAAAAAGATAGTCACATGATTACTTACGGAATAACCTACGAACTACAAGGAAGTACAGATTATCTGTCCCAAGTCAATCAAGTTTGCATGTTCTGAGCCTTGGCAAGGGTTTTCAACATTAATTCACAAAGGACAGATAATCTGTTATTCCGTGTTGCAAGTAGATCATTCATTTATGACCTTTGTTGTTTTTCTATAAAAAAATGTAGACAGATGTGGGGTTAATGATATGAGAGGGAGTTCAGCACAGATGCTCCATTGTTGGAACGATGTCACATAAAATTGTTGTGAACAATGGATGACGCTTCAGTTATTTGCGACAATGCATCATATAAAGTCATGATGCTATTAGCATCATCCCTTACAATGAAAACAGTGGAACAGTTGTCATGACGCTCAGTGAGAACCACTGAGAATAGTTTCATC